ATCAACACTAATACATATTCATATAATTGTGACATACAACACCAAAGGATTTATTATCAAAAACAAGAATTCAAAAAGGGTTAAGGTAAAATAATCAAATCTATATAAAAATCAGATAACAAGAGAATAGCAAAAATCTCATTCCACAAATGTTCTGATTCAAAACAAAGTACGCATAATTAATCTGTCGGTGGAGGTAATATATCCATAGCAGATATAATGAAAAGCTTTGATTGATCCGCTAGCAAAGAAATACTATCCCATATATTAGGCCTTTTTTGGCTCTCAATTAAAACTTCAACTTTCAATAAAAAGCTTTGCTATATTCACTTATATCTACCAAATCATCACTATCTCAGTTAACTATTACATTATCGTTGTTTGCATGTTTCTGAATATCGCCAGTTGTTTTTGTGTGTGATTTCTTTGATAAAAACTTTCAACTTTGTTGGTGTACTCTTTGTCTTTATCAGATGATATATTTGGGAACAATTTCTACTCCCACAATCATGGCATTCTACTGATACATGTGAAAAGGAAAACTAATGAAGGTTTTAGACTTGAAGATTATATTTGTTTACAAATAATGATGAATCTCTCTCCTATATCCATCATAGTGAATGGATGGACTTACAAGCTTGACGCATAAGTTCGAAACTACATTAATACCTTTTATATATGGCTTGTGACATTTTATATACAAGATGATAAAACTTACGTGCTTAAAATGCCGTGGATCGGCTGTATATAAGAATCATTGGATGGAGGTCACAAGACTTTTGCTAGAGCCGCCCAGACCGTATGCCTTTTTGTAGACTGCCGTGATCTTTCATACAAACATCGTTCAAGCCTGGCCCTTACTGCGTAAAGTCCAGACCTCATTAAAAGTGTCATTTATTATTTTTTTAAAAATCACTTTTGCCACAATTAAAATTATACCTACATTACAATTAAGCTATTGAGTTTTTTTTAGCTTATTTTGGACAGAAATAGAAGGAACTCATGATCAACTGATGGATGTAATATTAGTGAGAATAGAGTACTACATATACCCATAAAAGATTTTCTAAAACTCTGATGCAAGGGTATTCTGGTTATGAAATCTAGTTTCTCTCCAATCCTAAGATTGAAGACAGGTGATATCACTCATCTTGGGCTCAGGTTTTGAGGAGGAATTCACATCACTTTTCTGGAATTTTGGAAATTGGCACTATTAAGTTGAAGTCTAATATCCTCATCGTTAGATCAAGAAACTCAAAATCATTTCTTTTCATGTACTAGCGCTCTGTGTTTTTTAGTATCATCACGGTGAATATTCATGCAATCTGTTCATGGACTTTTCTAAATTCTAGTTAGTTATCGATGACTTTAGGTGTCCGATGAACATATCATGAGCGCGGAACCAAGTTGACTACTCTGCCTGAAGTTCTCGTGAAATTAACTCAATTTCTTATGGTATCAAGATTGTCACAATAGTTTGTCCATACAAATACCACATTTGAGTGCCACACTCAACAAAAGGTGGCAAAAATGACAAATGCCACTTTTAAGGAGGTTTGCGTTACTCAACGTGTTGGAACGGATAACTGCTGATTCAGTCGCTAAAGTTGTACAGGAGTTGATCTAGAGACGGAGGAGCCGACAGCTTTTGGTTTTTCTCTCTCTAGTTATCTATTCGAATCCTCGCTTTTTCGCTCTTCTTGTACGCTTTCTTTTCTCATTGCTCTAGCTCGCAGGAGCCATATCTCCAGAGGAGCTCACAATTGCCAAATGCGCGAAGCTTGCCTCAAAATGACGTTGAAGCATGCTTTGTACAATCAATCCATGAGTAATTTTGGAGCCAATATCATTGATGGAGCGGTGATTTGTAATGTTTGCAATTTGAATCTCAAGAAAGAAATGCTCGTACCACCATTAGGTCATGTTGGGAGGTGCGGGGAGTGACGGATCAGAGGCAGACGTAGATGCAAATTCTCATGATCAACATTTTTTGAGATCTTTGCCCGAGCCTCAATAAACTCGATTCCTTTTCTGTTATATTCTTTTGAATTCTCGTCCTCTCATGCCGGCTTGCTTCACCAACTGGTGCTCATTCTCTTCTTATTCATTGAGCAAATCCTTACGTAACCTCAAAAAGTGACTTTAATCTGCTCGTCCTTCCGAGCTCGAGAGTCTCTTGCCGAGTTCTCGACGCCTGGCCTGAAGCAGAAGAAGAAAGAGCGAGAGAGTTGGAATTTCTCCTAGAGTGCAGATTTGCCAGCGCATGTGCGCGACGAACTGCAGTGCGGGGAAATTCTGAGAAGGAGAGGGATCATGTATCTGATTTTGAACCGTGTTTCTTTGTTTGTGAGCAAGGTAATAATTATAGACGTGTTGGATTTGCCATGATCGATAAAAAAGCAGGATTATCCCTTTGACATATGTCTTCATGACAGTCATCCTATATGCCTGCAATGTCATGCCAGCAGCAGCTTAGATCTGAGGATATTGTTCCTTAATATCAGATCGCCTCAGATCGGAGGATGGTCATAGATATAAATCGATAGCAACATGAAAGTGGCTTGGAATATGCTCATTTGAATCGTAACATTAGCTTTTTCTTAATTCCTATTCATTGTAATATTATATGATGCAGCGTCGGATGTTTTTCGCTGTCAAGAGAAAAATACCCGAAGCTTTAAAGTCTAGTCTGCACATGGCTTTTTGTTGCCTCTCTAAGCAACTTTTGTCCAAATTGCATGCTATGGCCGATAAAATAGCAAGATTATTACTAAATCATAAAAATAAAAGGCTTATAATATGAGTTTATTGAGAATAAAAAATCGAAGAGAGACTTTGCAACTGTGGTTTTTCATATTAGTTATACCTTACTTTGGGCTAATTAGACCTCGGTCTAGTATACGCTGCCATTCGTACATCCTATAGGCTTCAATGGCGCAGCATTTATAAACGCTACCATCATTAACGATGTTCTTATAACTTGTTGTGTCTTCCGTTGTGACACTCGTTGCAAGCGTGACGCGCGTTACGCCTGCCACGTCAAAGTATGTCTGCCACATCAAACCAATTTGCGCTAAAATCTATAGCGAATGAATTTCGTTCATGAACAAACGGTGGGAGTGACGTGATTCGCTTCTGTTCAACAATGATGCTCTGGTCCTGTAAATCCGTGAAGATTCCAATGGCTTCTTGTCAAAGATTAGTCTTTCACGTAAATTTGTTTCCCGTTAAAATTGCGAGCAATAGAATTTTGTGATGACCTCATGATCCTTGGCCCAGTTAAGAAGCTATCAAAATCTTCACGGATTTCCAGTTTGGGGCATCATTGTCGAACACAGGAACATAGCTCACACTCGCACTATCGAACATAGCTCGTTTCTTCACAAACAAAATTCATTCACTTTTGATTTTAGCGCGAATTGGTTTGACATGGCAGACATATTTTGTCGTGGCAAGCGTAAGCCATGTCACGCTTGCCACTGCGTGACAAAACGAAAGGCACCAGAAGTTAGAAGAAGAAGTTAGCGTTCATAAATGCCCGCCATTCAAGCCTAATTAGATTGAGGTCTAATTAACCCAAAGTGAGGGATAACTAATACCTCCTTTTTTTTCTGCTTTTAACATATTTCAAAACAATAGCCTAAAATTTATTTCAAGAAAGAATCTTTTCTTGATAATTACAATATATCCCTATTATTGAATAGAACTCAAAATAAATATGTATCTAGAATTTTTAGTTTACATTTGTTTTGACAATGTATGAATCAAAAGTAACAATTTTAGAGAATGTTAAATTCAAACAATAGAAGTTCATTTGAAATTTTAAATAACCATGAGATGAAAAGTATTAAGTGAAAATGTACTTAAATATGTAGTAACAATCTAATTGTTTTACGTAACTTTTAAATTAGATTTATTTACATTTCATTGTGATTTTAGAGGCTATTTTATATTTCTGCTCTTTTGATTTTCCTAATAATTGAAAATGTTACAGCTTTTTTGCATAAGGTGCTCAAATTGCAATATTCATGATTATTACAAGTATTATATTTTTTCCATACTTTTCTGATACATAATTTTTAAATTGTATATCAAAATAGCTATAAATTTTTTTATAGTAGGCTTGAATTTGATCTTTCTAATTGAAATCATACATTAGATATTAATGTTCATATTGATTTTGAAAATTATTTATATAATATTATTTATGAATAATATTATTAAAAATTTTACTTTTATTTTTTGAAAAATGTTAAAATCAACTTTGATTAAAGAGTCACTTCATGTTCTAACTATTTATAGTTAAAAGTGTTGCTAGGATATTTAATCCTAGGGTTTGTATAAAAAAAAATAGGATTATTAGCATACATTCTCACGCTTGAGTTTAACTTTTGAAGTAATAGTGGGCTATGAACCAAGATTATATTGTTGTCTAGACTCTTTGTGTTTACAATCATTTGATCTTAGTATTTTGCTATTTAATGATTTTCGGTTTGAACACTTTTAAAACATATATGTGTATGATATATCACAGATGTAATATAATTATAATTTTAAGACAAAGTATGAACGTTTAAACAAATATTTTCCCCAAAAGATTAGTTTGTATAATATGATCTTATGTTAAAGTATATATAGTGTACTTTTTTTTATTTTTATACAATAAGACTATTATACAAATTAAAATTTAATTTTAATATATATTTTTAAATATAAAAATAATTAATTTTTTTTATCTTATCAATCTATCACTTTGATAGTTGGACAATTCATAAATTCACAGGGAAAATTACCATAATTATTTTGATAACCAAAGATAGATCCCGTATATAAATTAAAGTAACTTCATTATCATTTCTCTAAAAGTAATGTAATTTATATTTATCAAAATATATTTTGAATAATTTTACATTCATTTTAAAAATTAGTAAAATCGGAGAATAACATTTCTTTAATTTCCATAGATGGTAACGTAAAATTACTTGACGCAAAGAATCATCTGGAGATGCGGGGTATCGATCCCCGTGCCTCTCGCATGCTAAGCGAGCGCTCTACCATCTGAGCTACATCCCCATCTTGTGAGTTAGGCTCCAAATTGCGCAATTTTTTCAAATTTGAAATATATAATAAAATGTATTAAATCCCTAATTAGATCCCGATAACTTTAGTAAAACAAGATTGGGATTAAAGTTCTTGATAATTTTTATCAACTGACTACAGTAATACACTCACAAGTACAATAAAAGTCAAGAGAAATGTGTGAGTATCACTTCTGAAGGATTCTTCGCGTAAGATTGGATCCCCGGCCAGTGAGTCAGAATCACTACACAATCTTTTAGCTGCCCATATTCTTGAAGTCATCGACATCTGAAAAAGCTACAACAGTTGTTGCACCGCATGAAGTCAACCGATCTGAACTCTTCGTGAAGATCAGGATACATTGCAGAAGCTGTAGAAGAGGTCACTCGCATCAATATCGATAACAGTTACCACATAGACATCAATGGTGGAGCAACGCGCAGAAGTATTATTCAATAGTTCCTCGTAGGGGAAGTTTCTCTGTACACCACTGGCAAGTTTGACACCGGTGACCACTGCTGAAAGTTCTGGCATTGTCAGCTGGGAATCAAGAACTAGTCCAAGAGTTTACCCATTCAAGGAATCGATCCTCACACGGTCGCAGCCCCCAGAGAAGTAATGATGGTCAACCTAAATCTCGAAAGGAAAGGTGATGGAAAGACTTGCAGCAGACGAACAGACGTCAACAGGAGTAGATATCTACCAAACCTGTTTGCATCGCGCCTTTTATTCCATGCGACTTCTCTTCCACCTGGTTGGCGACCGTTGCCAAATCTGCGCGAGATTGCTCGCTGCCAGGTCTCCAACCTTCAAATTGAAGTCGCACTCGGGCCCCACAAGAGGCCCCACCTTCATAGCCAACATGTTAGGCAACTGGGCGAACCCAAAAGTTGCTCTGCAAATTGCCCTAAATATACCGAAACTTCAGAACTATCTGCTAGTCAATCCCTATATTCTCGAGAGGATGAGATGTATGACACAGCAATAGAGTGCTCCTTCTCGATGTAAACGAATGTATCACTTGAATGTCAACCCTGGCAGGCCTTCATCTCGAATCTTCAGTGAAACATCTTCATTGTAGCGATCCGTCCTCATTCTTATTTTCCGATCCCTTGGCTGTGCCTAGACATTTCCTTGAGTGTTACGCCGGTATTTTTATGAGAGGGTGCCATTAGTGTGATGTTGTACAACAGAAACGAGACTGGGATTGGAACCTAGGAATAGATCCTCTGGAGGGAGAAATACCACTGACCGCGAGCTGAGCATCAGGCAGGCCCTTGACTGGCATATCATCTTACAAAACTCAAAAACAGAAGTCAACAGTAGAGCTTAGGTTTGAGGATGCAGAGGAACTTTCTTGCTAACCACAGTCAAAGATTCAGTGACAACGACGCGCATGCTGGAGGGCTCCAAGTAGCTCGTGAGCTTTAGTCATGTATAGAATGATGATGAGAATAAGAATGATCCTGAACGGCTAAAGCTTCTTGTTCCTTACGAACAGTACGAGATTCTGTGCGGGAGTTACCTATTGCTCTCTGCAGAAGGTATAATATCAATCCGTTTTTGGTACAAGACTCTACTGTAGGATGATCGTGAGCACACGCTACCCGCAATGACTTCCTCGTGAAAATTAGAAAAGCTTTGTGTGATGGAACCCATCTTTCAGAACTTTCTTTGCTTTCCAAAAGCTCGTCACCTCATGATTGTCAAAGTCTTCGTCGAGTCAGGTAATGCCTTCAACTTCACTTCATGACTTGCGATGCCCTGCCAGAGGTTGCGTCGAAACCCAAGCATCACGTGTTACACTCCTGTGCTATCTCTCCTCGGCTAGCGAACTTGTGATAGAGTGGGCTTCTCGGGGTTGAAGTGCACTCCTCATGAAGGAAAGAGATGAGGTGAGCAAGTAACCACGCTAGTTTATCTGGTCTTTCTACTGGTTGTAACTCGATGGGTGGTTTGAAGATGGAGTCAGACTTGTACATCTTCATCTGAACGATGAGACGCGGATGACAGCAGGCCAATTGTTGCTCGGTGTGATCAAGCGCCATCACTTCGACAAGTAAAGAAACTCCTCGGCAAACTTGGTGGCCAAAAGAAGATCACGGTAATGACCCAACACTGAACTATACTAGGGCAGATTGTTCGGAGATTAGGTTCAGGATCGTATATCGAGAGCATGTGCAACCGAAGAAACAGGTGACAATACCTCACTCTCGTGGGGCTGCACTAGAGAATAATATCACCATGTGACCAACAGCAAGCCAAACTCGTGCAATCTTCGTCGACCCAAGCATCCCAACGACCGACGAAGACTGCAAAAATGCACCCAACTGTCGCTCGTCATTTCAAGGACAGCAGAGCTCATTCGCCTCAACCACACCCACGCAGGCACTTCGGGGCCACTGAAGACGCAGCAACTGAAGGACAGCTGTGCTGATGGCAAGCCATTACAAAAATAACAAACCGAAGAATTTGCAGCGAAAAGGCCACAAATTTTATTCAATAATTCCTCGCAGTGCATCGAGTTCCGAGGTCCGAACACATGCCGAGCAGATATCAAAGGCACAGAGGGATAAAAAAATGCACACTCGAAACATGCCCCAACTACCGCAACAATCGCCGACCCAATGAAAGAATACAAAACGCTCGAATCGACGGAAGCCGACGCAGTGTCACGATGCAACGAGGAAGGAAGAGACATGAGCTCATGGGAAGCCGGAGGGAGGACGCACCAACCAACCAGCCAGCCAACCAACCAACCCGACCCATCCTAACCTAACCCGAGAGGGCGGTCAGAAGAACCTGAGTCAGAGGCGCTTGACTTGCAGGCAGGGGCGCTGGAGCTGGAGCTGGAGCAGGAGCGGCGAATGTTCTTGTACGAAGATGCGCGTGGGGACAGGTGCAAGTTGGCTCCACTATCGAAAGCGAGGAGGGCAAGCGGGATCCAGTCTATCATCCGTTCTTGTGTCGCTGGCGGGGGTGCGTTGCCGCGTTACCCCACCTCTGGCTGGCACTGGCACTGGCCCTGGCCTGCGACGCAGCAGCGGTCAGCTCAGCTCATCAGCCTTCAGCTCAGCAGAAGCGCCCGCACGAGACGAGCGCCAGGCAGCGGACGAGCCTGGGCAGCCAGGGCAGGGCAGGGCAGGGCAGGGAGAGGAAAGGGAAGGGAGAGGACGAGCAGCAGCTGCTGCAGCAGAAGCAGAAAGAGAAGGAGAAGAAGAAGAAGAAGAAGGAGGAGGAGGAGAAGAGGAAGAGAAGGACGGATCGGGATTGGCGAGAGATTCTTTATTCGTTCGATGCGCTGCAGCAGAGGCGAGGGGAAGAAAGGGCGAAAGGTGAAGGGAAAGGAGGAGGATTAGAGCGCCCGAGGAGGAGGAGGAGTTGCGATTTCGATTTGAGCTTTTGCAGAGATTTGGCCCGCCGACTTCCCGACTGCTGGATTGCTCGATTGCTCGATTGCTCGTTTGCCGTAGAGTGGAGTGAGTGGAGAGGAGTGGGGCGGAGCGAAGCAGATGTATTTGGGGATGAGGCGGGTGGCTCCTCCGTAGCGCAGGACGGTGTCGTCGATAGAGGCAGGCAGGCAGATACACCACTTGCTCAAAAGAAGAGGGGAGTGCGGGAGGGCAGGAAAGATCAGGGGTGGCGGAGGAGGAGGAGGAGGAGGAGGAGGAGGTGGTGGAGCTGCAGCGGCTGCCGGGAGGACGATTGGAGGTAAGTGGAAGAGAGTGTGAGTGTGAGGATTCGAGTCCGATCGTTTTAACGAGGAAGAATCACACTTCAGGCATCGTAGCGAGACCGAGGCGGTAAAGGCGGTGCTCTCGATCCACCCGCCGAACGAGTTTAGGAGGGAAGCTTTTAGATCGCCTCGACTCGCCTCGCCCCGCATTGTTGCGCATTGCCGCTCAGGGAGAGCAGCATCGAGGTGCAGGGGAGGGGAGGGGAGGGAAGAGCGAGGCGCAAGAGAGGCAGGAAGGGGGAAATCCCGCAATGGGGCCAGGGGTGGGGCTGGTGTACGACGCGCGCATGTGCGAGCACGCAAATCTGGAAGACCCTTATCACCCAGAAAAACCCGAGCGCATTACCGCCATTTTCGAGATGCTCGAGAAGGCCGGAGTTGTGGAGAAATGCACGCGCGTGGACGCCAGGGAGGCGACGGACGCCGAGCTCGCTTCGGTGCACACGCCGAAGCACATCGCGGCGATGCGGGCCGTCGGCAAGCAGGCTTACGACCGCGAGGAGAGGCTGTCGCTGGGGCGCCGCTACAATTCCATCTACTTCAACAAGGGCTCGTCGGGCGCAGCTCTTCTGGCCGCAGGGTCGCTGGTGGAGCTCGCCTCGCGAGTGGCGCGAGGTGAATTGGGCGCCGGCGCCGCCGTCGTGCGGCCTCCCGGGCACCATGCTGAGGCCGATGCCGCCATGGGCTTCTGCCTCTTCAACAACGTCGCCGTCGCTGCGCATGTGCTCGTCCACGGCCAGCCGAGCTCGGGCGTCAAGAAGGTGCTGATCGTCGACTGGGACGTGCACCACGGGAATGGGACGCAGCACATGTTTTGGCAAGATCCCCAAGTGCTGTACTTCTCGGTGCACAGGTACGACGATGGGTTCTTCTACCCAGGCAGCGAGGATGGCGACTCGGATAAGGTCGGAGGTGGCGCAGGCGCAGGTTTCAATGTGAACGTGCCCTGGCCCCGCAAGGGCTATGGCGATCTCGACTACCTCGCGGTGTTCGATCACGTGCTCATGCCCATCGCCCAAGAATTCCAGGCCGATCTGGTTCTGGTGTCCGGGGGGTTCGATTCTGCCAAAGGCGATCCCCTCGGAGGATGTCAGATTTCCCCAGCAGGCTATAACCGAATGACGCAGAGGCTGATGGAGTTGGCCGGAGGGCGCGTCGTGTTAGCTCTGGAAGGTGGCTACAATCTGAAATCCATCTCGGAATCGTATCTGGCGTGCATGAAGGCCTTGCTCGGCGAGCCCATGGACGAGTGCGTGTCGGGGGAGAATAGTCTATTAGCCTCGACGTGGTCGTTGATTAAGGAGGTTCGGAGTCATCTGCGGCCTTTCTGGCCTTCGATGTCTAAGGAGGAGGAGGACGACCTCGATAGGGTGCCCGAGTATTTCGTAGTGCACGACGACCTGGCGCTCATCAGCTCGTCCAGTGACTCAGAGCACGAATCCGACGACGATGTCTTCGAGGATTTGGCCGAGTCCTTCGATAGTGAATTGCAAGTGGAGGAAGTCTCCGATGATTATCTGGACGACGAAGGCTTGAGACCGGAAGAGGAAACGCGCACGCCTTTGATCGAAGATCTGATTAACCATCTCCATTTAAGTGAGGTCAAGGAGGGAGCTCATACGGCTCCAGTCGTCGAGGAGCCACCGACGCCGGCGGCAGTGTCGGTTCCTGCGCAGAGCCGGAATTTGTTGGTCCAAGAGATTTCAATTTCGGTATTAGGCGAAGGTAAGAGCGACGCAAAGCAAGATCCGTCTGTACCTGTAATTGTGGAAGTGAATATTGATACAAAGCAGATTGATCCAAAGTGAAAGACACACGTATATCGAGTCTCCCGGTCAGTGGAAGAGACATGGAAACTCCATCATTTTGAAGCCCGAGTGCCATTGTGAGGAAAGATTTTGAGAGCTGCATTTTATGCTTTCCTCGCAAGAAGCACATGTACAAATAGCTCAAGCGGCCATTTATGAAAGCGATGTTGCGGCAGCTTGGTGCCCAAGAGTTGCTCTGAGCCTCATTGATCAGTAAATCTGCCGCATCAGATTCAGTCGTCGTGTCTAGAAAAGTACCTGCTTTCTGTACTGGTTCTTTCGACAAAGGATATGGTGCAACACGAGATGGGGACGACGGCTCCTCTCCTCTTCTTCAGGCCGAGGCTATGTGTGCATAGGATTAAATTACTGAGACTTTACAAGTCATGTTGACGATTCTTCTGATTCTAGACAATGTTACTATATTCAGAGTGAACCCCGGGCCTCCTCCCTCTTCCTTCACAGTCCAGGACCTACTTCGTGCACCTGCGACTTGACAATCACCATATGTACTTTGGCGGACAATCTTCAAATGAATAATAAACCAAACACTGAATTAAATACCTCACTTAACGATGAACAGCAACTGAAGCTGGACCTGTCATACTCGAGCACTCACTCGACGAATGACAGCCAGCTCCCCAGCAGGAAAGCGAGACTGTTACCATCTTCGTAAAGGTGAACCTCGAGCGAGTCACTCACATCGTGACTATATGCTCCCAGGGCAGCTCGAGCTTGTTGGCAGTAATACTCAGTTACTAACTCAAGGATAATTGTCATTATCATGGATTGTTTCATACATTTTCTGTTCCATGCGCAACCAGCTTTCAAAAGATTGAGGATAAGGCTGGCATTCATTCTGGTGCCTGAACTTAGATGACAGTTTCTGTTGATCGGTAATCTTGGAGGACAGTGCTGTTTAATCTGAAACTAAAAATCACAGAGGTTTAACAACTCGCGCTATATGCCCGGATAGCGCCCATGGATGGTCAAACAAGAAATAATTAAATGGGAAAACAGGAGGATGAATACGAAATAATTAAATTTAGAAGTAGGAGCATACCGCAAGTTCGTCTTGACAGTGAGTTTATATATAGTAAGAGTTTTCACACGAACTTGTGGTGACTGTAGTTTTTTTTTAACAGTAGACCAAGCTAAAGCCAGTAATATAGCAAGAAGAATGGAAGAACCATCATGTTTCATTAATGGTAGAACCATGCATAGTATATGCTGGACCCGTATTGCATCACATTGGGATATATATAGGACTACATCTGATATCTCTAAACTATCAAGGTTAAGATTTCTATTTAACATGCATTATTATCTAACGATTGCACCAACCATTGCTTTCTAAAGATTACTGAATTGGTGAATCCTTTGCAAATATACTATGTAACCTTAGTTAGTCGATTAAGAATGTGATTAACTTGACAACGAGTATAATATGGTCTTACTCATTCTCTTTGATAACTCGTCTTCAATAAATTCTATCAAATGCATGAGTCTCTTTTCATAACACGTATTATTTTCTTCCATAACAAGTAATTATGTCTAATGACATCATAAATAAATAAATCTTGTATTTGAACAATCATAGAGCCATACGACTCCCACTAATGTAACCTAGTTCCACACTTTCATATGAGTAATGAGGATGGGGACCAAACCAAGGCAGAAGCTTTGCGGTTGTGATAGCTGATAAGAGGAGAGAACCTTGATGCATTATCAATCCAAGATCTATGAGCGCATACTCTAAATTTAGCCAAAACAGCACCTCAAACAAACCGTAGTAATATATGGGATCTAGTACAAAAGGAAAGTGTAGGGTTTCATGAAAACTTGACTGAATCACAGTAGTCTAAGTAAAGCTTTTATAGTGTGAGAATACAATAATTTCTTGATCGAAGTATTAGTAAGTATAAGAAAACTGATTGATTTGCATTATTCTTTCATCCAAACCTGATAACCTTTGAGATGTACCTGTAGACAAATTGAGCGTATAAAGAAGATGAAAGTAATGCTCAGTAGCAAAAAATGCTACATGGATGATTTTGTCTATTGAAAATATACTTATTCCTCCGCATGAAATGAAAAGAAAAACAACTCGGTATCAAAGTTTATTGCAAACAATCAAAGTAGGATGTTGTTATGATGACTTACGTAGGTCCATAATACTCATATCTAAGGTTGTCAAGCGCCTTAAGAATGCATATCTAGGAGTCATCGTGCGAAAATGAATACAAGAGAAGAGTCGTAGACTGCATTTATTTTAGTTTATTTCTACATTTATGGATCATTTATTTGTTTTGGGTATTGAGCTGATTTTATTTACTTATATAATTAAATAAGTATTTATTTTGTTTCAATACATTTATGCATTTATAAGTCACTATTCAATTACATGCATTTACACCTTCAAATCTCTCCATTTTTTACATGTAAATACTTAAAATTTAGTACTGTACACCTCGTATGCATATTCCGTACGTTCACATTCCCGGAGTTGTTTTCCTCAAATGCAGGAATACATTATATAATTTGCGCTATATGTGAGCAGTGTATCTCGCCAGATGGGGCAGCAGTTCTAGTTTCGGCTCCTTGGACTCTTTAGATCATCAACTGGATAGAACTAATACTGCAGCAGTTGTCTGCGTTGTGAGCCGTGGTTATTCAATACACCGTGTTACGTGTGTCGCAGAGTTGACGTCTTGTACGGTCGCGAGTCTTGTATAAGACTTTTCATTGTAATTATTATAAACCAAGCGTGAAGGACTGGAAATACTTGCAGCCAACAGTTGGTGTATGAAAGTGGATTTACACATGAAGCTCGGCAGTACAGCCAAACAGGAGTCTGTCAAGGTGCAGATCTCGTTGGGCTAGCAGGTTACATGCAATTCCCGTGGAAAGAGTAAGACACTGAAATGATTCAATTGCACTCATGCCTCGAAGCACTTTGGCGTCCTTTAGTTGATCACTTGGCTAATAATCATTGTGTAATCTGTACTCAGACGTTACGAGCTATTCATCCACTTTTCGTCTACTTTTGATAAGCTTGCTTCTCGTTTGTCCGATGAAACCGGCAAACAGTGTCGTATGCGGGTGGTAGGACACCTAACTGAAGATCGGGATCGAGCTGTAGAACTGCCTCATGCAGGCCCCAATTGTATAAAAGGTCAGTCGCCAGAATCGACCAGGAAGGCCTTCACTGAGAGTAGCGGAATAGTTTCTCGAAATGAATAAGATGACCTCTGACTCGGTACGAATAGCAAGCATACAAGACTGCAGCTGACCCTACAGCCCAGTAAGATATCAGCACCGGAACCCCGAAATGCTGCACAGCCAGCCAACGATCGAGCAAAAGTCCAAGAACGGAACATCAGTTTTTATCACTAAGCATCGGCTGCCGCCACGAAGCAAGTACTTACCAAGAGCCAAAAGCCCGTCAAGCCGGATGCTTTACTTAGCATTACAATAATTGAATGGATGGATTATTGGATAATAACACCGCAAAAAATCTCAATGAAAGATTGAATGAACGAGCGAATGCAACTCAAGAGGTCAACGACAGATTATAAGCTATAGATGCAAAGAAAGTCACAACGGACTAAACCACGAAAAGGACAATGCGCCAAGGTTTGGGTGTTCTGACCCTGGGGTCTGAGATGACGATAGCCATGACGTATGAGAGCATATCCATCAATGATTGTAACGAGTTTTGTACTCCACCCACAACTCCCCTCTTGTGTTCAGGAACAGAGTCCTGTCAACAAGAACATCATCTATCAGTGTTTGCACTCAGGAGGTACATCTTCAATGCATTGACTGTTTTTCAGAAGCAAAGATTCAGATCAGGAAGAATCAAGATACAGGTTCGCAATGTTACCAGTGTTCTGCCATTGGACAACAAATAGCGAGGAAGTCAATAATAAAAGAAAAGTAACATGATCGATACACGCTGTATGAACAGCCCACTTATTTTCTAGTCGGAATGAAGTTCTGAACAAGGAGTAGGAAGGGATTCGACTTGATTTGCTTGCCTGCATTAATTGTGTGACAGACAAGTCAAACATCCACAAACCGAAACGTGATGCCGCCACTCCAATGATGAGCATGGCTGACGCTCCAACTCCATTGTGTACAAGAACCGAGATCGCAGATATTGAGAGCAGGGACCACTGTTTCAAAAACAATCCTGTGTCTGTCAGATGGTTTGCCGTCATTTATACATCCCTTGTACTCAAGGGATCGTTGACCGTTCTTATTCTTCACATGCTATAGACTTTATCTTGCACCCAGCAAGCAAAGGTCTTAGCTTCCAGGTCGTTAAAGATTCTTGACCATTGTAAAAGTTTCTATCAAGTTCGATGTCAAAGTTAAGGGCGAGTAGATAGTTCCTACCACACAAACAGTTTCAATCGATACTTTCGAAGATAAATGAATATCTGTTCTCAAGACCATATAAAGGTTTGAAGGAAATGAGAACCTGTAGATTGATTGACCACAATCCTGTTCGTACTGTCTGGAGCTTTGGCTGCAGTATGGGATACGCCACTGTCGCCAAAATGCCTATGATAGCTGCAACTCCTCTGGCCAGACCCAGAACGTAGGCTGGCACCCCTCTCCAGTTCAAAACGGCTGTCATTAGGGATCCAAAACTGCAACACAGGAACGAAGACTCGCTTGTCAACTGATACTGCAGCCGTGAGTACTTTCAGATGGTATCAAAGAAGAATTATGCTTCGGGTAATTTTCGCAGACCATAAGTTGCCCTGCTACAACATTAAGTCCTTGGCTAGAACTCACCTGAGGACTGTGAAGTATAGAAGAGCCAGAGAAACACCTGCGAGCATCACTTCCTGTTGCAAATAAACCGTCCATCCTTCGATGTAAGGTAGATGCAAACATTTGCCCAGCAGTCCATTCCCGTAGCTCAGGGTTCTATCGATCTGATTTTTATGAGAGATCTGTACAAAATCATGGGCATCTTCCATATCAGCTTCTCGGTTGGTCGGCAAATTTCCATCCAATAATCCAACATCCTCCGCATCTGTAGCCACCACTGTCGGTGCTTCTCTGAGCTGAAGTGCAGGTATGGACCAATATACAGAATGCAGGAGCTTATATTCGATGCCCACAGACACCAAATTCCATACTGCAATGGCTAAAGCACATGCAAGTGCAGAGACGCCGCTCATTAGAAAGCCAACAAATACTGGAGCCAGTAATTTACAGGACAGGTCAATGCGCCGCATTATGCTGTTCAACTGGGTAAGCAGTCCTGGGGCATATTGCTCTGAAATGACGATCACCCTGTGTCAAACGAGTACCGAGTTCAGTCATGGCGCATTCTTTGGATTGGCAGCATACCCTGAATGCAATACGACGACCGTACACCATGCAATCCATGATTTGATATATCAAGAACACTCCTGCTCCATGCATCTATGAACATGAGCATGCCAATCTGAGAGTTTGAACAAAAGGGAGAAACAACATCCTAATCATTTGACAAAACTTTCACAAAAACTCGAGGATGGAGTGCACTAGTTCATTGTAGTTTTGTGTAATAACGCATGATCATTACAATCGTTGAATTCTGTGAGAGCCCTATGCGTCCATCATTCAGTTTCTCCTTCAAAGCAGTTTCAAGCTTAGCGAACTCAGTATAATGAAGTAAGATGGGAGTCTTACCAATCACGTTCAACCACAATGTTGGTAGCGAGACCAGAAAGGGCAGCAAGCGCCCCACATAAGTTTACCAGCACAGTCAAAGCAGCAAAAGTTTGTGAACCTCCCGGCAAAGAATCCGGATATGCTAACAAACACACCAGAGACAGGCCCGCTATCACAACAGAGCTATTTTGCACCACAAGAGAGATTTGTACGACCTGAGACAGAAGAACCAACAAAGGCATAAGCAAGCAGGAACGTTAACCCGCCACAATATTCACATATAGAATCCTCGCTTGCTCCGAAAGAAAAATCAAATGCAGATTGGGCCATCTCCATTGGGCCTAAAAGTCAAACGTCAGCTATGTCAAATTCCTTGAGGTCTCCCGAAACTACAACGAAAACTAATTTTCGTGACGTCACAATCAACAAGGAGTTCAAAAGGTGGAGACATAGGGAGAAAACCTTCAATCGAGGCGTTCTGTCCACCCAGTTGCCGACTACAACACCAAAAGCAGCTATGGAAGCTGTTTCTGTAAGGCCATAAACAGCTGCCAGAAGCAGGGAATCGGGCCATATCGTAATCATGAAAAGACCCACGGCAAACTCCCACATCCTGTAGCCAATGACCACACCAACATCATAATCAGACATCGACGAGACTCAAACAATGAACGAGATAATCCAATTGGGGAACTGGGAGGCGGCGCAAGATTCAAGGCTTCAAGCAACACTGCTGCAAAAGCCGTACGGACCTGTCGCCCCATCTCGACAGAAAGTGACTCCAATAGAGGAAGTGCACCAAGGAACTGATGGGAGGACCACTGCTGCTGCTGGTGTTGCTGACATGACTACCCGTGGGTGACACTGCATCGTCGTTCTCCTGCTGCCCGCTGTTTGTTCCTGTAACCAAACTTCAGCTTTAGAATCATAGCCAGCCAGAGTTTCAGGTGTCATATCATCTCACCCCGTTCGAGCTATCCGTGTCTGAATTCTCTGAACCAGACATTTGTGACGATTCGCGCTTTTCTGACAATGCTGAAGGCTATGAGGGTTGACATTTGCACTGACACTGACGATAGTGCACGACGATCCATGGTACCTCCGTCTTCCCTTCCTATTGGCTCGATGCAGACCATCTCAATCTTACAACCGGTCTCTTGCGCGTCCTCTCTTCCTTTCTCCCACTGGTATGCATCCCTCTCGATCAAGAATGCAGATTCTGCAGGAATGTTGTTTTCTGTGTAGGATAGAATCACGCGCTAGATCAGATGATTATTTGCAGTGGGAACTGAAACGGCACATGGGCATTCACGTGCATCGCAATGCCAAGCTTGCATCTGTCGCTCAATCCGGTCGGTCCAATGCAGGAGGAAGAATGCTCACCTTCACGAGTGCAATTGCAGGACTTGTGATTTCATGCCCATGAACTAATGAGTGGAAAGATTACAAACGAGGACGAGACGACGAGACACCGTGAATTAAGGCAGTTCAGATTCGGACACAAGCATGTTCTCGCTCAGTGGTTCCGTGGAGAAAAACGGCAATGAGACCTACGTCTTCACCGGATCGAAGACGACGATCAAGTGGCTCACGAAGATTTTCGCAGCGGCGAATGACAATCTAAAAACGCCGCTCGCACAGTTCAAAGTGTCAGCGAAGAGGAAAGCTGCCGCTGGATCGCGGGTGTCCAAATCGTCTCAAGAATCGTCTCGCAAGGCATGGGATTACGGTCCCAAAAGCCGTCCTAAAACAACTCCAGGCACCAAAGCATCCAGGGCCACCATTCCGATCACAAGTTTCAAAAGCAGTGGAGGCTCGGCGGGACTCGCCACTGCGACGCTGTCCGGGCTCGAAAGACCTCGAGCTTCATCGTCAGCCTCATCGGCGTCCGTGGCGTCTAGTCAGTTGCAAGCATCTTGCGCAAAATCGCCCACTAAACGACCTCAATCTACGACCACAATCAAAATCCGCGGACCGAAATCGGGCGAGAGACAGATCCAAACACCAGCGTCGACATCGACATCGACATCAACATCGACATCAGCCGCAGCAGCAGCAGTAGACTCGGTACTGGAATCATCGGTTCAATCGATTCTGCCCACAAGGAAGATTGCCCATTTCTCCAGTAAGTTGACATGGACGAAGTCACCAGGGCTGGCGCTTCCGAGTGGCTCACCCAATTCGAGGCTAGCGCTCGAGCAACTCCGTCCTAAACAACGAGAAGAACCAGTAGCTCCTCCATCACAACGCCGTGAGGCAATTTCAAGAAGCATTGACACTTGCAAGCCCTTCTTGAGGGCAAAATCTGGCAAGACATTGTCCGAGCGTACCAATACCAGTATTGCCAACGACGCCGTGACGAGAGCTCTGCAGAATGCTTCCAAACCCTCAGCAGAACCCAAAATTTTCTCCTACTTGAGACCACCACCAGAAGGAGCTAAATATTCACACAACCTGACATTCAAGAATCCGCTGCTGAAGAAATACCACGAGGGCAAAGTCACTGCCGCCCTGCGGTGCTTGTCACATCCGGAGATCATCACAGCCGACACATTCCGAGTTTTATCTGCGCCTTTCCAGAGATTCCTCGTACAGACGCATCCGGAGATGTCCTACCTAAGCCATCAGCAGCAGCAGCAGCAGCAGCAGCAGGACATTATGGAAAGTTGATTGAATTTGAGGTCTAGCAGGTTTCTATGCATACGTACCGGACTGGTCCGCCACACTGCCATCGTTGAAGGCGGTGGATGCAGATGTCGTCCCCGCGGGCGAAGCAGATGTTTCGTCGACAGATGGTCGAGCCGGAACTTGGTCCAGGAGAGGCACCGTATCATGAGCAGAAGAGGAAAACATTGTGAAGTTTGTCTGTCGATCTCTGTTTCTGTTTCTATTTCTGTTTCTGATCTCAAGACCGTCAGAGCAAATCAAGCTCCTTCAACACAGAGGTCTCTCGAATTCAGAATGTGGATTTGCTCTCCATTCAGCCCAATCTCAAGCTCCGAGGGGAGCGCTGAATCCAAACAGTTCACACATTGGTCCATTCATTCGATTACTGGTTTCGGCTCGATTTCATAAGATTTCATAAGAACGAGCAGCTGCTGCTCGTTCTGCTGCTCTCACCAGATGAAGAACGGACACGAACTCCTCCTGGTGGAATAGGAGAGCAGGTGGTGACATTGTGAGGTGACAACCGCCATTGGGCTCACGAGCACAAACGAGGAGATTGAGTAAATCCTCGGGACAGATGAATCCTGTTCATGTGGGGATTAAAGCTGGCTGAGGCCGGGGAAGGTAGAACTGCACCTTCACCGGGTTCCACCATCATTTCTTCGTTCAAAGCTGATACTGCACGAGGATGTCTCCCTCGATGATTCTTCCAACCCATCAAATCACCTCAACACCGCTCTGCTCTGCTCTGCTCGGGCCTACCTCCATACCCCGTTAAGCAAGTGACACAGGCTCGGGAATTTGGCGGGCAACACGCACAAGGGAGGAGGGTACGGGTCACAGAGTGCAGAAAGCTGGGTACCTAGAAAGCCTCAATTCCAGGATTCAGATTTAGAAGCAATTAAATGAACCTGGAACTGCTGGGCCTGAGGTGAGGAGAGGTGGGGTGGGGTGGAATGGGGTGGGGTGTAGCCGCCGCCTTCAGATCGATGGGATGCTCGTAATTAATTCTGATGTAATTCATGAACGGGGGCGATTCTGCATGGGGAGAAGCCCTGGTTTCAGCTTTGCAGCTGGAAGACGAGGGGCTGTAGACTGCTGCTGCTGCTGCTGCTGCTGCGGGAGCCAGAGCCAGAGCCAGAGCTAGAGCCAATGCCAGTGGCAGTGAGAGAGGGAGGATGCTGCTGCGACTGACTGCTTCTCGCAAGGCGCAATTCCGAAAGGCCTCGTTGTTCGATCGAGCGAGCGATCGGAAACCACGTCGAGCGAGGGCCGAGAAGTGTGCCCATTTATATCCGGCTCTGCGTTAGCGTTTGCGGCTGCGGTTGCGGTTGCTAGCGCATGGAGCAGCCGGGCTACGGAATGCGGAACGACGCTATGCTTCCACTAGAAGACAACCGCTTTATCCTCGAGGGCCCGCGACCAGAATCCAGACGCTGCCAGGGGATCCGGAACCTGCTGACTCGGACCAGGAAGGACGCTTCGTTTTGTCTTTTTCGCCTTCTCACAAATTTGTCCCTTGCTTGCATCCTATCCCCGGGCTCTTTGTGACGTTAGCATCATCAGTGTCCTGTCCTGCCTGACGCAGTGGGATAGTGGAAGCTCTTCGAAGCCCTGGCTCATATTTTAGCTTTCCAGTAATGCTTCGAGGGAGGGAGGGGCCTGGTTACTTTCTCTACTACACGGTCGAGAGTACATTCCCCCAGAGCTCGCTCGGTTGTTCTGACTTTAATATACTGCCGATCATGAGACTCTTTAAAAGGAATTTAGTTTGGTGTGATGGTAACAAAGAGCCTTATGTTGTTAACAAACCGCCTCAAGACTAGCTCAAGGGGTGTGTGGGGTTTGCGTACCATTGTTGTTGATAAGCATGTCTGAAGTTAACCATGGTCTAGAGAATCCAACAAATCCCAACTCGAGGGTGGCTGTGAGTGAGTGAGAGGTTGAGGCCGCTGCCAAAACGGGGTTGCAACCAGCCAACCGACTGGAAGATATTTTGATCTGATATTTCTCGATGAGACGATTGATATGAAGTACAATAGGAAAACATGTCTTGTCTCATCGCCAACCTCTACAAACCATGTAGCTATCTATGTAGATGTGACAACCATTAGGCTGGCAGTGCGCTTAATTGCAATGGCCAAAATCTGCGTCAATACAATTGCCAATAGTTTCGAGCTAAAAAGAGAACAGCAAGAAATAGAGTCCAAAATCATTTGAGACAATGGGATGCAATGGGAAATCGCGAGTCCTCCTTTTTCAGGGGACTGTGGAAATCACTAGTGGTACGAATTGGTACAATCTGGGAAACTCAACTAACTGTACAGAGAGACTCAGAAGATATTTTGTACACCAAGTTCAAATTCCCCACAATTTTCGACTGGGGAATTTGAATCTCCGACCCTTGTGCCTGGACGAAATTGGGCGAACGTTGTCCTTAAGGGTCAAAAATATAGATCCTAAATACGAATCGAGGCAGCTTCATCAATTTCGAGGCAAAATTGTAGTTCTCTGTATAGAACTATTGCGAGTCACCGGAATCTCGCCCCTTTGCGAAAGAGATGAAAATCTGTTCCAGTGAGCTCTGACTGACACTATAGTCCTCCAATCCGACAAGATCCTTCTCTGCTTCTATTACTCCAAAAACCTTCGATAACGAGACGCCCTCCAAAGGAATACAATACTTAACTCTTGTATTGTGTTGTTCATCGAGCTTAGATCCAGGAAAAGAGCGAGTGATAAACTCATGAAGTCGTTGCATATCCTCTGGCCTTTTGCATCGCATCTCCAAATTGTAGCCTGCAAAGTAGGCCATCATAGTTTAGGCATAAGAGGATATGGAGCTGATCACAGTTACAGAAGGTGAAACCTAGAGTGTATATGGCCATAATTATCGGGAGACTGAGCAAAATTGACCCTGTACACGTGGAATGAACAGAGAAGATAATCTTACAAAACGCTACTTTACTTGTAGCGTTTTGTAAGACGCTACAAATAAAGTACTCACCACTTCCAAAACGTGACTTCAGGTGCTGGATGGAACCGAGGCACATAAGCCTCCCCGAGACCATCACTCCAACGCGACCACACAGAGCTTCACATTCTTCCATGCTGTGTGTAGTCAATACCATGCTCACTTGACGATTGTTCACAGCGTCTTGAACTAGATCCCACATGGACCTTCGTGCTACTGGATCCATTCCGCTGCTGGGTTCATCGAGAAAAACTACGGCAGGATCTCCGACCTGAGTCACCGAGGACATGAGAAAGTGTAAAGCAATTGAGCAAAGCCTGTTCACCTAAGTACATGTTGTGAATAAAGAAATTACTTCCGAGCCGATATTCCAAAGTCTTGTGTACCAATCACCAAAGCTAAAAATCATTACATACCAGCGCAATAGCCAATGCCAGTTTTCGTTTATTTCCGCCGCTGTAAACACCAGAAACCTGATCTGCATACTTCTGCAGTCCAGCTGCTTCTAAAACTTCATCCACCGTTGACTTCACTCTGATATCCGGTACCCCTTTAAGTCGTGCATACATGTCCAGATGTTCCCTGGCTGTCATCAAGTCTAGCAACGGGTCAAACTGCGGACAGTAACCTATATACTTTTGGACGGTCGGCATGTTTGTGACCACTGAATGACCTTTGATGAAGGCATTTCCACTCGTAGGCTTGATGTCACCACTCAAAATAGAGAGGGTCGTCGTTTTTCCTGCCCCGTTAACACCCCTGCGAGAAAATAGTCCAAGGAGATGTTAGTAAACCAGAGTAGGCCTTCGAGTAAAGTAAGCAGACCCACAAAACAATGTACATAAAAAGTCAGATTTCTTCAGCAGTTCACAGTTTCCTACTGAAGACAACCTTGATGGCTAGAAAAACTTACAGAAAGCCGAAACATTCACCGGACGAGATTCCAAGACAGAGATCCTTCACAGCAACCTTTGCTGGCTCGTTGCCATGGCCTGGATAAACTTTCCAGAGTTTTCGAATGGTGACAGCATCTTCGTGAGCCATTCCACTCTCAACTCTCTCTCTTTCACTGTGCACGTCCTCGTCTTCCGGTGACGACAGGTCTCCTGAAGCGATAAGAAGGTTCGGTCATTACGAGGAAATTCCATATTCTGTGTAGACTCCAGTGCATACAAAGCACGAAGATGACGTAGGTAAAGTTTCAATCGTAATACTGCGAGTGCTGGGGTCGAACAACAACACGGAGCAGGAGACAACTAGACACTTATTCAGCCGACTAGATTTCGTGGTGAACCTACAGAGAGCATTATATTATACTTGTGCATCACAGTCAAACAATTAGCATCTTGCCCAACCTTTGACAATACCTCGTGTTCTGAAAGCGGAAAATGAATTAATTACTACGGAGAGCATTTAGCGTATGCGGGAATTTACACTAACTGCAAGCAATCCTACTACAAGTAAGAACTATATGTCTGGCGACTGACTGGCATCAAAAGCTTTGAATTATTACCATTGGCCGCAGCGGCGTGCAAGGAAGACGATGTCGATTTTCTCTTCCGTGAAAATTTTACCAATAATTTCCAAATGGAGGTCAACCAGTCATTGTCTATAGTGAGAGTCAGAAGCATGTAGCCGACGGCTTCCATGAGCATCAACGTGATCGGGCGACCAAGAACGCCCCACCTATAAAGATTAGGATGTCCATGCACGAAAGTTGATTGCAGATCCATGGCGGACAGAGTCACAAGGCCTCTCCCTAAATTGTAAGGAGGAAACAGCTGAAAAATTTGTACAAGATATCTGTTCAACTCCTGCACGTATTTAAAAAAAGGTAGGTTATTTGCTTGAGATTTCTGAATAGACATTCCCAAATAACCCGAGCCACCAGTAAATCGTTACTTGCAAGACGAACAAATACGGAAAGCATAGGGATTGGTATAACCTTAGTCTCAGGAAGAGCACCCATCACTGTGCTAGCAACGAGCGTAACAAAGCCTGTCACAAAATGTATTCCAGCAATGGCAACCTGCAGCCAAAAGCATCATCAGTTTCTGCTGTTAGTAAATGTGTTTGGCTTATCGCGAGGTAAGAAAAAATAGCCATAACTACAAACCGACATAGCAAGGAAAGACTTAGATTGATGCTGTTCTTGATACTTCGGCTCCTCCTCACTAAAGGCCCTTAGAGGCCCTATTTCCGCGGGCCTTCTCTAGGCAGTCCGCGAAAAAAGGGCCTTCGGGCCCTTGAAAGAAGTACCGAACTGAGTGATGTAACTAGCGCAATAAGTTGTAGTACTGCAACTGACGCACCTGTGCATTTGCATGACTGGTGAAAGCGAAAGAGTAGCAATACGACAACGGCAAAACAGAGAGTCCGAAAGATATGAGAAGCACGAAAACAGCCCCAGCTTTGGTCCACGATCCGATAAATGCTTGGTCTCTATAGAGCACGAATACGAGCATAGTGATCCCCACAATTGCAATGTAGTTCAGAATGTCCCAGCAATATGTCGCAGTCCAGTAAGAATAGGTGTTTGCTCCGCTCAACATCTTCAGCATGCAACGGGTTCCCAGTCAGTAAATTACTCATCTTGAGATCCACATACCGTGTAAGCACTCTAGTTCGTTTCTTCAAATAATAAGTCAAACTGAACAATGAAGGCATGCCCACATTAGTGTCTCTTGTAACCTGCTATCCTGCGTAAGTTCCGAAACTTCTTTAATCTGGATTGAAAGAACCGAGAAAGCGGTAGAAACTAGGATGAGCAGAGATGTCTACAGCTTATTACTGACCTGTAAGAGTTTCGCCTTCACCACCCTTTCGCGCACTACAAACACTGCAAAGCTTGCAGCAAGATAGCAAAATGGGATGAGGATAAACAATGCCGCTAGCACTGTCAACATGACCTGAATTCGGAGAGCCTCGTTCTTTGTAAGGGGTAGAGGTGAGTTCGATAACTTCATGCTGGCTGTGGAAAGATTTAGTGCTTCCCGTAGTCTTGCTTGAGCAAGCTCCTGAATGAGGGTTGGCATGGCGTGTTCAGACGAAGTATTGTGCAGGAGGGTCAAACCTGACCAAAGTCCACGTCCAGAAGGTGTTTGCATAACTCGAAAGTCCCCGACCATACCATCAGGAAGAGTATCGGCAAAAGTCGAATTGGGATACAGAGTTTTTATATCTGTCAGATTCACATTACGAACGCCGGATGTGTTGTACTGAGGCAGCAAGGTGTCGTTGAATATAAGCGCACCTGGAATACATTAGGAGATTAAGCAAGTCTGTAAGTTGAAAATTTCATCCGAACATTCAAAAATAGTTGCTCTTCTGCTTAACTTCTTCTGGTCTAGCTAACTTGAGAAATTATACATCTCACTGAAGAAAACTGAAACTCTGATACTTACCAAATCTCGGTGGATCACTTATTGTGCGCAAGAGAAGCTCACTCATCTCGATGCTGTCCTGCACGTCTTGTCGACCGTCAAGCCTCACGTGACCTTCTCTACCTATAACCGGTAAAGAACTTACGGGAACACCGGCGACAGGTAAGTCCAGTATATAAGGTAGACCAAGACTTCGAAACGTCCCTTTGTACATATCGAATTGCAAAGCCAGTTTAGGACCAGAGGGATCAATATTCAGCTTCAATATCAACATCACGAAGGCTATAACAGCAACTGGGAGTAAAATAGTGTTGAGAAGACCCTGCGACATGAAACGACGGTCATATTAAGCAAGTGAAATCAATGCATCAAGCTCTACGTAGTTGACATTAACATTCAATTAACTGCCTCACCTGGAACCACCGTTCCAGCGTATATTGTTCCTTTCGATGTCTTTCAAAGGCTTCACCGAGGGAAGAAGAGCTTGATGGAATAATATTATTGAAATTTGAGGTGCTTTGGGAGTAAACTTGCAAACTTTAGCTCAATACCCATGATTCAACAAAAAGAAGGTACTTTAAAGATCAGATATTAAACCTTTCGAACATTTGGCTTGAAATGAAAATGAGCTTCCTTCAAGCGAAAAACAAAGGTTTGCAGTTCCAATCTGACGGGAAAGGCCAAAAGCAGTACATAGTGAAGGTTGTACTCCTACCTTGACATCTCTTCTTGCTATTATTGCCCGCTTTTTGACCAACTGTAACCATGCATAATAAAAGCTGCATTTCTGCTTTTTCATAAAACCTCCTGCTGAGTGGTTTGACGCTGGATCTCCCTCATTTGAAGCGGTGGTCCTCCCATTGCTTGCGAAATCCACTTGCTTATTCTCGACATCCAATGCCAAAAAGTTATTGTCTTCATTTTTCCCGTGACCGTTTAAGTTCAGGTTTAAAGTTTCTGGTCCTAAAACTTGAGCAGGCTTTCCTCCAGGCCCGAAGAAGTCACTATTCTCATTAGCTAATTTGATGAACACCTCTTCCAGAGTTGTCATAGAGACACCATAACCACCTATCTGCAGCGCGCTCTTATGTTGTTCAAGTTCCAAAAATAGATTCGAGAAGGCTGCTTTATTTGCTACAGGTAACTGAAACGCCATCTCTCCACCAGCACTACTCAAAGGAACTGCTTGAGGAACATGTTCCTGTATTAGATCTTGTACCGCCTTCTCGTTGCAGGTTTGATTGAGCTTTGTCATGGTTAAATTGTAGCCAACGCCAAATTTCGCCTGCGCAAAAATGACCACTCAAATATTAAGAACCATCAAAGACAGCTCCAATCAGCAGATACACCTAAATATGCTGTTCGATCTCCTCGTACTTGCGCATGGATCTCGTAATTTATGGAAATCCTCGGCCCTCGTTAAGAAAGAAAAACTACCTTTAAGTAGAGGCTACTTCCACAACAACGAAGACGTCCCTCGCTCATAATGGCAATACGGTCACATAAAAGATCCGCTTCATCCATGTAGTGGGTGGTAAGAACAATCGCACGTCCTTGCTTGAATGTTCGAAGCAAATCCCACATGCCTCTTCTTGCATGTGGGTCCATTCCAGAAGTTGGCTCGTCTAGAAACACAACCTTGGAACCTCCAATCATGGCGATCGCAACCTGGAAAACCCCACTTGCAAAAGATCAACCACTAATGACACTAAGATTAAGATTAACAATAACAAGTTCTAAGCCTCTCGATAATTGACAGTCATGTAGATCAAGTCAGAATAAAAACCAAAGTCATTTATTTTTAGCTCTGAATTCTCTGATGTCATACCTGCAATTTGCGTTTCATTCCACCTGAAAGACTAGCCGAACGAGCGTCCATCTTGTCAGTCAAACCAAGTCTCTCCACCATGTCTTCGACTTCCTCGGTAATGAGTTTTTCGGGGATCCCCTTCAGAGCAGCAAAGAGCTCCAGATGTTCTCTTACAGTCAACACACCAAAGAGAACATTCTGTTGAGGGCAGACACCAATTGTCCTGTAAAGTCGATGGAAAGTTAGTGATTCAACCCCTTATACTGCAAACTAAAACCATATCATGTTCATCCACTGCATGATATTCAGGTACAAAAAGAATACAACTGCTGCTTGGCTCAGGCTGGTTGACACTATACAAACTTACACAAAGGAGCCTCAATATTCTATTTTGATATTCAGAATAGAGATGTGAACTAGATGGACTACTTCCACGTGATGTGTCACCCACCACCACAGCAGGTCCTGTGGACTCTCTTGCCCTTGCCATAGCTTGTTCACACTCAATAGATTCTCAGGAATGCTCCTAAGGTCAGAACTATCCATGAACTACACTCCACCTAGAGCACGGTCGGATTATTGGCTGATGCCAGATTAAGGTGGGCAGAGATGTCTACCTTAATCCGGGTAGTTTAATTCTTTAATGACTAGGGTTTTGATTGTTAGCATCTGCTTCTGGAAGGTTGACATTTCTCAGAATCTACCTGAGGGGTAAGATTTTAATTAGTCTTTATCTCGTATGAGTAACAGTCAATCCATTTACCACTACTAATTGACAATTCTGGTCTGAATTTGTCATTGATTCACAACATTCTACGATCTAAGACTTCATTGGGATCATATGAGGGTCTACTATGTCATTGACACTATCATCCATTTGAAAGGACAATCACAGGAGGGAGCGTTGATCATGATTGTCATTTATACTTACTACATAGGTATTTACAGTTCATACTATTATCATCGGCATCAGCAGTAAGAAGCAATGAACATAAACATTAAAAGACCATACCTCCTGATGGAACTCAGATCTTTGTGAATACTGTGGCCCCAAATTTCGGCATCTCCGGAGGTCGGTCTAGTAAGTCCTGTCAGCATAGATATTGTGGTGGATTTACCAGCACCGTTGTGCCCCAGCAAGGCAGTTATCTGGTCTTCGTATATCGTAAGACTCAGACCATCTACGGCAACCTTCCCACCGTGAAACACCTTCCTTAGGTTATTGACTTGCACTGCTGGACGATGATCCTCTCCGACCATGGGTTCAACTTGATCATCCCATGATAGTTTGTCAGAGTCTGTACCCAACATCTGCAAGCAATATTTCAGCATGATGCACTGTACATGCCGGGCAGGAATTGAATGTAAAGAAGGGTAAGAAAATCTTCATAAAAAGCAAAAAATCTGCAGTGAACATGAAAACAGGAAGAAACTGGACGGATGATGAGAAACCCTGCACAGTAATAATGAAAAGACGGTCGGTATGCATCCTTACACCATCTCTTCTCTGTCCGAGGAACTACAAAGAAGCAAGAATAAACGGTAAGGAAATTACAAAAACTTCATTTCCAAAACACGACTTCCAATTTTAATGTCCACAGCCAAGCACATACTTTTCAGCGTAAGACGTCGTTAAGGAAATATCCCCTGAACATGGAAGTCTCATAAAAAACTTAAAAAATTTGGTCATTCAAACAAACCTCATATTCGGCTGATAGCCTGTAAGTCTTATCCCCAAACCAATAACGAGGAGTAAACAAAAACCAAGGTTTCAATCTTCCTCCGTATTCTGATGGCAAAATTTGCTCCAGGTACCTGAAATACGACTGGGACTTAGAGAATAGATCGTACTGGATATAATCCTACCTACAAGTAACAGTCTGCTACTCGAATCGCAAGAAAACCATCCCTCGTACATATTAGAGTAACACATCCATGATGAGACGTAGGAAAGATGACAACTTAAGGATCAGCTGTTCAACAACTGAATCTAGACGGACATCCAATTACTACTGGCACATATGAATAGAGAGAGTATAAACGTACCAAGCAAGAGCCCCGTAAAGTATAAAGTCTGTAGCTAGAAGAACAAATATCCAAGCCATTGAAAACTCATCATCCCACAGATTAGACCATGTCAAACCAAGATTCTCGCCTTCAAACTGGCCAAGAAGATCAACTCCTGCAATTAATTAAAACACAAAAGAGGAACATGAGCCCCAAGGATGGACATATACATGACTTGCATGCTAAGCTTCAAGCAGGACAGCGAAATTAATCTTACATCTAAGATAACGTAAACCTGCCCTAACTGTTCTAATCATAATGCCACGTCTGTTGACATAATGATTCAACAAATAAAATACGGCTACATAATGGACAAGCTATTTTCCTTCTCGTCATCAACTACAAACTTTGAGTTTTCGGTTTCAACTGTGCATGAACTAAGTATGGACACATTAATGCTTGATAAATGGCCGCTTAAGAGCTTACCGAAAGTAAAAGCAGTGGAAGGAAGCAGTGCTGTAGCTGTCTTTCCAGCAATAGCCTGACTGCTGTTAGAGCGGAAAAATATATAACGAGGCATAATGGCTGCAAAGTGCACAAACGGAGCTACAATTGCTGCTAGCTTGGACTTCGAAAAGAAAACGGATAGGAAGAAACCTGCAGAAGTTCCAAAGAGAGGTTGTCATACTTGTCTTCCACAAATTCAAATTATATTTTCCGAGTACGTGGTATAAAACAATTGGCTTATTTTGACTACATTCCCCTCCTCTAAGAACCTTTACAAAGCTAGAAGGCACCAGACAACATATCCTATACTTCAGACTTGTGAAACTAGCACGCAAACTTTATAGACAACAATTAATCTGCAGCTTTGGTACTTACACTTCTTTCTCACTAGAGGAAGCAAGTGGGCACGTACCGAAGGGTATAAGTGAAGCTGTGAAGAGATAAAAGAGAGTAAAGACGACGCCTATGTCACTGCACATCGATCCCAGTGTCAAATTATTTGCAAAAAAATATGAAATATACGATGAGAAAAAGAGGTGATCCCTGCAGCTTCCCAGACGCAAATAAAAACCCTCAACCATAACCTGTGACTATTCCATTGTGTATCTCGAAGATAGTTTACCTCTTGGGGAAATACGTGAGTTTGAGAACAACGCTCACAGAAACCGATATCAGGAAAAAAGTAACCTGCACACAGTATACCTTCAAGATCAGCTTTTTCCTCTGTAAGCAAAACTATTACACTACTTTCTTTAAGAAAAAAGGTGTTGCAGTTATACTCTTCCGAGGAGGCAAGATGAACAAAGTTCAACGAACCGTTTTGACCTAGAGAGACAACTCGCCATCTGCAAAACCAAATCTACTGCAAATCATTCTAGTCACATCCCGAATGGTACAAGGAAACAAACAGAGACAAGAACGCGCCTTGAAGCAGATAATTTTAGAAATCACGCAGAAAACTTGAGTTACAAACCAAGTACGTGGAGAGCCATGACAGATTAAAAACCCAAGGTTTCAATCCCATAATGCGCATAGTCTCTTTTGCCCTAGTTTCTTTCTCCTCCACAAGGGCCTAATAACCAAACAAACAACACAAAATTACCGACATCAACGGAACGGAAAACGGAAAGCAAGACATTGATAACTTTAAATTTCTGATAGATTTGATCAGCAACTTCGCCCAATACTTTGCTATGAAAAAACGGATGAGCGGCCAGCTATTGACCAAAAAAGATGAGCAAGTACGAGTGCTGAAAACTATCAATATGATAACAGGATAAAATTAACAGAAGGCAATCAAAAGAATAAACAAAAAGCGTGCAGTATGGACCCAAATGGCTGATAAAATCAAGTCCAAGGATTAAGAAAACTACACAATGACAGAGCCATCATCCTGCCATCACATAACTCGGATGCTTCTAGAGTAAGGACGAACGTGCATAGGCTTCTGCTAGGGTTTAGGGTTTAGACGGAAATAGTGATGCCAATGGGGAAACTCTGTTAAGCACCCAACATTCTCCTGGTTATCAAAAGATACCAGGAGTTTGACTCTACTATGCCATGACGGTAGAGTGCTCTATGGATGGAAACAGATCTTCAAATTCGCATTGAAGATAAGTGGCGTGACTTCAAAGTTCACAAATACAGATGCACACAGATAGAAACCCCAAAAGTTTTGACCGTTCAATATTGAACTTTGGAGGACCAGAGCGAAGAATGTAAAAAGCCAAGTATGAAAATCAGCAAATACCTTGACGAGCATAGCCAGCGGATACAACGTGGACAAACACATAACCAGTCCCATCAGCGGTCCAACCTGTCAAGTCGACATTCAGATAGTCATTCTCTGCAATACAGTTGAACACATAACCATCACTTGAACTAACATTGTGTAATCCTGTATAAGTCCCCATTTTGATTACGGACTGCTTGTGAGTTCCACAGGATGAGGCACAAATTCTTACCACATCATAAAAACGGTTGTGGGTATATTCTCCAACTGGAAAGGGTGCACCCCACACAGTTTCATCTACTAGCACTCCTGGCTGTTGAATCGTGAGATTCTTAAATACATAAGAATTGACCGCATTCTGCAACAGAAAGTTCGGCCAAAGTGTTGATGTTTGCTCGTCAGACCCGCAGTTCTCGTATGCGGAAAATTACCATTTTACCAATTAAAGAATGCCCAATGAACTCTATGTGTCTACGGATGCAATGAGAATTGTATCACAGGACCAAACTCTGGATATTTAGATAAGTCCGATATGCATTCTAGAGTAAGCACAAAAGCCCTTACAGGTAGGGCTTACATACCTGAAGACTAAGAAACCCGGAAGTGTAGTAGTCCTTATATTTATCAATCATGCCACGTCTACGCTTATGTACGGTACGCCAAGTACGAGGGACAGTGGTATAATTCATACGAATTGTGTAGTCCACTTTCCCATCTGCAATGTCGAGATGTTTCACGACTATGATCGCCCATAGTGGTTCTTTGGACCCTCTAAGAGCCCAATCTAGAGCATCCTGTCCAGAGAAAGAAACACAAATTCAAAAAATGTCTCAAGTATTTGCCATTACGGAGATGGGTTCTACGCTGCGCACATTCATGACCTCTCCGGTCACTTGAGATGCAGCGAGAACCAACATTCAAGTCCATCACTTCAATCTACAATGCCTAATAGGCCATAACCTTCCGTCCAAATATAAACTTTATCCGTTACTTTCTCACGACCTCACGATGGAAATAATGAACATCCACGATTTGATACAAAAGATGTCACTCGTATTTGAAAGCGATGCTGATGTAGAACATAGGTTTATTCACTCACTAGATTGACAACTTAGAACTGCAATCAAGTTGTTGGAAACAAAGTGGGTAAATGATTACATAATTAGCTCAAGTAGTAGTGTAGTGCTCCTGTGGTCCCTACGAGTCGACCCGAACACCGTACTGTATTAGATATAGGACTCGTACCTTCTCAGTTGGAAAAGTTCCTCCATAAACCTCGTTGAAAAACTGCAGCAAAAGAACAACAGGTAACAGTCGTGACATCAAAAAACCAACTCCAGATCGAACAACATCTGTTCAACAAGAAATCCGATCCTTGTTGAGCGTGACATTATTTACAGTTACCTGAAAATTGTATCCTCTGACCACAAATAAAACCAGACATGGGTCCAAGGATGACTCACTTGATAGTTAGTGGACATGTAATCTACAAGATCGGCAACTTGAGGCGTGTTCGGCGTGAATGTGACTTGTCCTAGCTGTAGAAGATTTCCAAGCTGCAAACATTTCATAATATGACATGCCATAAGCTGAAAGGCAGCTTCCGAAGTGTCCTTCAGATAGTGTAGAACACGGACAATGACAGTACCATGTTTCTTGATAAGCCAGTAACAGAGTAATAAAAAAAAGTCTGAAGGTACTAATTACCAAGAAAATCACTTACAACGTTTCCAAATCTCTTCTGAAGGGCCACCACATCGTCGAATTTTCCTTGTTGTGAATCTATCAGCGGAAAACAACTACATACTGGTGAGAATCTCCTTTCCCAGTGAGCTTCAACCTTGATGCTTATAATGGAAAAAAGAATTGACTAACAAAATGTGCTACTGTGGTTCAGATACGTCCCGGTTGAAGTTGATATAAACAATTCATTTTTACGCCTCAAGTTGTAAAGATACATTATACTTTGTAAATCCGCAGACTAAATCTGTCAAACCACAGCATGTCGACTTCATAGAAAAAAATTTACAACAAAAAATTATAATACAGAACAGTAAGAGACAAACCTAGAGCCGCTTTTATGAGCTTGTGAGCTGCTACATATGTATCGAAAGAAGGTACCGGCAGAGGTCCGTTGTACTGGTCTATCAGATCAAGGGCACTAATGATCTCTTGAGCTGTGTCTACGCACTTCAGGGCAAGAAGAAGTAGCTCTGGAGTGACTGCAGCAAGTTCGTTTGGATCTCCCTGATTTTGTGCTCGCATTAAATCATCGAATAGAGTTGCGTTAGCCGCAGTCAAATTGAAATTGATTGCTTGCCCACCATTTGCTTGAAGTTGCTGTGTCATTAATCTGGCAAGCAATTGCAGCTCTTTCAGAGACAAATTCTGCAAACAAGATAGCACATGAGTTCCATGCAACTGATCAAAAATGATTAGTAGGATAAGCATAATTGATCATTTTTCAGCAATTTTGCTGAAAATACAAATCGACATCAGCTCCGGGAGAATTTGGTCTACATGACTTGCCCATATTCTAAAGCACAATCTGGATAGACAATATCATTTTCTGACTTGAGATGGAATTAATCTCCGTCGCAAACCATGCTTAATTTCCTCCTATATTTTAAAAAATATGAACAACAAGAAGCCAAAAAAATAACCATAACAATTTTGCCGAAGAATTCCTTTACAACTGCAGTGGTACAAGATAGTAGCCAAGGCAAACACCGGGCTACGCAGTCTTCGTCAACCTTGTAAGATAAGATTCCAGCATAACACTCGCCAGCGAGGGGAAAGAATCTGAATACATACTGGACTTTCAAAATTTGTGCATTACTTTTTAAACTTGCAACTTATTTGTTTCCGTTTGAAGCAACGTCTACTCCGCACAGGTCTATTTCATTCCCTTGCAGAACAGTATAAGCGATGCAACACGTACAAATTGTGAAATCAGATGGCCTTGATTTATAATTACTATTTTTCGAAAGCAGTCTAGTCAACAGATGTTTCCATCCGTCAGGAATTTCCATCGGCGACTACAACTTCTCCTTTACACAACTGATCTCGAGTAAGGATGTGAATGATAAAGATCGGATCACCGCAGTAAGGAAGTGTGCACGCCACGGAATGACTAAAAGGACCTGACACAATCCTTCGAGCCCGCGAGATAAAGCTCACTTGTAATTCGAACATATATTCCAAGCAACTGAATCAGCTCCATTTTAGTACTTCCGATTTCGAGGATGAGCAACAGTACCTGCTTAACAAGCATAGCCGGAGGACAATTGTGGATGAAATTTCGGGTATCCATGAACGTATCCGTGAACTTATTAAATTCAGGTAGAGAAGCATTGGCGAAGACAGCAGAATCATAATGATCTGGCGTGCTCCTCGCCCATCCCAAAACTAAAAGTGAGATCATCAAAAGTGGACTAATAAGCTCCATGATTGTCTGTATCATACCCCGCTTCTGCAGTGATCAAAACGAACCAGAGTGAAAATCCCAGGTCAAGCGAATTGACGTCGAGGTTTGGGATGAAATAACAATCCAACTACTAAAAGCTTCTGAAACTAAGAACTGAATTCATGCCACTCAATGAACCCACAAACTCAAAAGAGACAGAGAATCTAAATCTGCCAACAGAAAATTCACATTGAGCAAAGCAGAAATCTCATGACCTTGAACAACCACTGCCGTCGCAGCATGGCCTCAAGCTGCTTGCTGCCACTAGCAGGGGGCGGCAACTTAAAATCACTGGCACCTCCATTATCTGCAGTCCTACTATCAGAATAAGGAATCCCCCCATCTTGTCCCCAGTGAACGACACCATCCTCACCTCCCACTGAACTCAAACTCAATTCTGCTCTATTTCCACCATCAGTCCTACTTTCCAAATCGTCATCCACTTGTTCAACCCGCTGATACCCATCTGACGCCCTTCTCGAACCCATACCACTCTAAATTTACAAATGTAAAATTGACACCTCTTCCTCTGCTACCAATTCATCAACGTCTTCTCGCTCCCTCTCTCTGTTTCTCCTCCTCCTGCTTCAAACTATCGAGCGACGAGATCAATCGATCGGTCGAATCGAATTCTTCGTCCGAAACGCTTAACAAACACATGAATTCACGCTACGAAGTTGCCGAGATGAGTCGCAACACCAGATCCGGTCTCGAAGACGCCCGGGCGGATTCAAATCCACGACAAAAGGAGAAGGAGAGAGCGCCTGGGCCTGCTTTTTTCCTGTGACCGGAGGTGCGCTCCGCTCGCTTCTTCCTCTTCGTTCCAGGGCCTCCGAGGCCTCCCTCCCTCCCTCCCTCCTCCAAACTCGAACCCAAACACACTCAAAACTCTCACACATACCCCCGAAGCCGCAAAAGGGGAAGGAAGAACACAACAGGTCTATGCAAAGGTAAAAACGTTAAAGTGAGTCCCCCAGGATTTCGCCCGGCCCCCTCGTAAATACCATCCCTCCTCCGCCCAGCTGGCTCGCTCGCTCGCTCGCTGGCGCAGTCTGCTGGCCTGCCCTTTCACCAACTGTACTCCCGAGGCCTCACCACTCTAATCTCTTCGTGCCACGTATGCAGCTCTGGTGAATGTTACTTTTCCCCGCTGCCTCTGTCGAAGGTTCAGTTCGCTTCAACCGCCGGATCCCGTCACCTACCTGCCACACAAGCACGGACCGTCGGGTTTCATCTCATGGGCATTCCCATCCTTTTGGCTTTACCACCACTGTAACATTCATCTATGGGATTTCCCGACCCTCGGATGCCGATCCTGCGGCTACGGAGGAGCGTCACTCCCTTGACTTCGCTTGGACGTGAAGAGATCGTTGTCATGTGAGAGGCGGCTCCATTCGCCGGCAGCTCGCACGCAGACCGCCCGGCCGCGAAAGAAGCATTTGCTCCGTTTCCGGCATTCCGCCTTTTATTTCATCTTCCAGATACGTCTGTCTGTCTGTCAGGCCCATAAACGGCTGGACCCCAACGGCCCTGGCTCTTCCTCTGAAGCGGTTCCGTTCTTCCGGCAAGACCGTGGACTCGGTCCAAAGGAGTCCGTCTGCCCGACGGAAGGAAGGCCGGGAAAGAAAGAGAGAGTTGGTGAACTTTCCGTCGTAAGGCTAAGGGTCGTCGCTCGAGGAGGACCCGAGGGAGAACGGAACACATTCCGGCACCTTTCTTCCGGCGGGAGCTCGGGCGAGAGAGCGAGGTCGCGAATTTCGAAGCCCATGCAGGAACGGCGACTCGGGGCGTGCGATGACGTTCGAGGGGAGGAGAGTGACGTCAGCATGCTTCGTCAAATGTGCATGCGGTTCCATTGGCTCGGGGTGCATCGAGCGAAGAGCCATGGGCATGATGATGAGTCGAGGGCTGAAAGTCATGTTCTGGCCGTGTCGAGTGCCTCGATCGCAGGGACGGTAGGACAGTCGACAGTCGGCAGTCGGCCGTCGGCCCTGGACTTTGTCTGCAGCAGCAGCAGCTGCTCTTTCCTCATTGTTTCAGAAGAAGTCAGGTCCGTGGAGCAGGTCAACACAGTCTGTAGTAGTCTGTTGTTCGCTACTGACATGGATGTTGTACGGTGCATGTTTCAGGTCAGTCAGCATGAACAGCAGCCTCCACTGTCTGCCAACGAATTTCTTTTTGCATGAAAATCTTTTACGTGCCCTTCCTCGTCTTCGTGATTTTATTTAAGACTTACAGCTTCATTCTGAGATTGGGGATGGAGTATGTCTTCATCACAATGGCGGTTGTCCCAAGTTCTTCGATGCGGAGAGTGTTTGCTCTAACCTTGAGGTCAAAGTTGTCAGCACCAAGCAGGAGTCGATGAACGTCGTGCCTCTACCTCACATTCATTTTCGGTGTGACGAAAACCATGTCTTCAAGATTGAGATAACGAAGAACCCGAAAAGGGTACTCTTTAGAGCTTTGTGACTCATGGCAGTGTCTCGAGATTACCAGCTAACTGAATCACATATACAACTTCCATATTAGATATTTAGGTGACTAAATTTAACGAGTGTATTGTTCTCGACCTGATGGTATACAAATTACATGTTATATTCATTTGGGACGTAATGATTACTGATGAGACATCCAATAAGATGCGATTTGCAATTAAAATATCTTCGAACTGTTCATGGAAATTTGGCAGACGTATGAGGGCATGTGTCATTTTATCACTGTCTACTAAATAATAAAATACAGTTTTATTATAATTTAATCAGTATTTATATCAACCTACCATGAACAGAACAAGTACAAGAATATTATAGCATTCCCGATAAAGCGATGCATCTAAGAATGCTATGTTATTCTTAAACTATAGATCATATGGACTGTTAAGATGAGTCTCATGATAATGATTTGGCCATATACCTCCAACTCTTGACGAGGTCCTCCTAACAATTTTGCCACAATACTTGGGCCCCTCTAGTCTTTCACGTGTATTTAAAACTTGACTTTTGAAAGTTGGAAATACACAACGCCCGAAGGCGAATGTTCCGATGTAAAGTACATCAGACCGCCGCTCAGATGTCGAAGGTTTCAGATTGCCCTCCACTTAACGACCTGATCGATCATGAAGTGAGGAGACGGTTCAGTCGCCTTGTCAAGACCTGTAAAACACGGTAGCTAAGATGCCTGCACCTCTCCAGGCTGATTTCAAATTACTAAAAGCGTCGAGTCCGGACAAGGATACAAGTGAGCCGTCTCAGTTGTAACGCAGGAATTGTTCCTGACCCAACAGTCCCTGGATTCTTGGAAAGGCGCTAACAACAACGGTCGAATAGAAGGATTGAAATAGAATAGAAGAAATGTAGACCCTATACATCAATCAGAAACCACCTCGGTGCCTATATCCAGCAAGACCGTCCAGGTACCCTCTCCTCTGACAACCATATTATACATGTCTTTCTAAGTTTCACGGGTGACCATTTTTTTTGTAAATTCGTTTCATACAATATGTTAGCACACGATGCCCAGATTCTTTGGTTTCATTGTAGAGTTAGAGCTTCTCGGTACAACTCCTTCGTCAAATGTGATTTTATTCGGAACTGATGAAATCTGGCTCTGGAATGGCAAGAACGTTTCAAGTTATCAAGCAGCACTGAATTCAACGGGAGTGACATAAGATTTGGAGCAAATCTTTCTTCTTTGCTTGATATGCAGTGTTATGCGCCAGGCCCACCACGTATGATGTTATAGGTTATGACCTATGGGCCCCTTCCACACTGACACTGACATGTACCTGAATTTGTGCAAGAATCCGGCTCTTTTGCGGCACATCAAGAACAGCACATGTGAGCCCGGATTTTCCCATCCTTTTTCTACATTTCTCGCTTTCACTTTTCACGTAAGCCCGGTCATGATGGCTGTTCTTTGACTAGTTGGAGAGTTTTCAACCCTACTTTATTGACCGTCTCTCTCTCTTTCTCTCTGCAGGAAAGCAATAGCTTTCTTGCCAAACCAGGAAAGGGCAAATTGAATCTCGGAACCTATCCAAATACAAAGTCCCCGGGATCTCTTCCATCTTCCAATCGAACCCCACGAATTCTGTATATCGGCTTAACCTGCCCAATTGTTTCCATCACAACATTCGCCAACAGCACTCACCCTCTCTTTCAACATAGAAGCCAGACATATGGACACACTGAGTATGAGCTGGATGTGTGGCAAGTCCAGCGACTCTGCAGTTTGTGTGCGATCAGGCCTGGCAATGAAACCTCATAGCACAGACACATAAGAGAAGAAAAAACCTGGACATGAATTTCAAAGAATCTTATTCAAGATGGCTAGTTCATCTTAGCTGGACTTGCAAGTCCAGCTAAAATGAACTAGCAAGGAATGTGGCAACGGAACTTCGTAATGCTGCAGATTGTCAAAGTTGTATGAACTGAGATTGAAGAGCGAAGCTCTGTTCATTGGACATGTGTCTACAACTTATTCCAATTGGGAAGTTATCGGATGCGGGGAAGAATGAGTTCAACGTGGGTGATCGTCCGACTTACAACAAAGTCCTCGATGACATGCTTGGAACACGTACCTTTAGGGCACACGCTGAGCCAAATTGACCGAGGGAACGAGCGAAGAGAGGCGGTGCTGTGTTCAAAATGATCTGTGGACCGCATGTTCCTAGATAAGATTAAGAAATGCCTCGTTCTCTTCTGCGTCAAGACTTCTCTATCTTGCAAGTTGTGGTGAGTTCGTACGAACCACTGTGACTGTGCTGCACGAAACTATCTTGCACTCGACGAATAGAATCATCGCCACCGTCATATTTCCCACCCTCGCCCGCTTTCTCTCTGAGAATAAAATCTTCATTTATAATTCAAAAGTCTCCCACTACCTGCTCTAGATGCGAACGTCAAACAATGCTCCGATCCTCGTCGAGGTGTCTCTCGACGCGTCAACCGAGAATGTCCGAACCTTCACAACCTTCTATGATGAGAGTAACAAATGCATTGTGAAGACGGTCGAGACCACTACGACGGATTAGAGCAATCAAGTCTCTCAGCCAGACCGGGGAAGGTTCAGACGAGAGGAATCCCTTCATTGATAGGACATCTTCTGGACAGGCATGTTTCACAAGGTGTGAAATAAAAGTCAGGATAGTCAGGATGCTCTGAATTCTAGCACCCACGTCCTGCCTGCGGGCTACCAAACAAAAGAAGGGGCATTGGCACCATTCTCTTTCAGTCTCAGGTTTTCCTGATGAAGTTCACATTAGGTTGTCGCAAGAAGAATCACGGAAAGAACACGAACTATGATGCGTATTTAGAATTTCGCTAGAGCAAGCACACTGATCGCAGTGTAGACCAACACAATTGCGTCCGCTTGAAATCGAGCCCGAGTTGTCTAGGTCCAAAAGAGGATTCTTTGGATTTATTATAGCATATGTCAGTAGGTCGTCGTCAACCCAAACTTTCTGCCCACCTCACCGTTTCTACCCATTCCAATTCTCCTATCCCGTTCACTTCTTTTATGCTTGCAAAAGGGAATGTGGGAGAAACGGAGACGACAACAACAAACCAACCTCCCATAGCGAAAAAGCTTCTTAACCACGAAGCGCAAAAGCGATTGTGGCTGCTGGGATTCGAGCCCAGGTCTCCACGGCCACAACGTGGAATTCTCACCACTAAACTACAGCCACTTCATATCAATGTAACGGAGAGAAAAATATATAAATCGTATTACACCATAAAAATAATATTTCTAGACCCAAATCCCTCTTTGCAAAGAGAAGAAATATAAGAATAGATATTTTTCTGTTAGCATCCATTGTCCTAGACCTTTTGGCTTCCACTTTGAATTATTAGCTTACTCCAGCAAGTGGGAGGATCCTGTCTGTAGGCAAATTGATGTAGACCGCGAAGGAAGCGCTGCCAATGTTAACGAGGTTTCTCGTAGTCTGTCGGTTCCATTTATCTTCGGCGTCCCATTGCACATCTCGCTACCCAACGGACGCTCTCAGGATGGACGGTAACCAGACGTGGAGTTAAGCAGAGAAAACTTATTTCAATCTCGGCAGTTCTAGTGAATAAATTGAGTAAGAGGGAACAATTTGGGTGCATCCGAAACTCTTATCAATCGATGGGTCGATTAGACACCGGACTCCGTGTATTGTGCTGCTGAAATTTATGTTCCTCGTTACTACGCCTCCGTGTTCATGACCAGTAGATATTATCCTCATGTTACAATTTTCGGCCCCACTTCATAATGAATTTGGTTGCTTGGTTTAGTAGTGTTCTTGAAAGAGTTTTTGTTTATTCCTTTTCGAATGATCTCCTCTGCTTGGCGATATGTTAGCCATATGTATCTGTGATTCATCATCAAACGAAATTATCTTTTGAAGAGACGTTTCTAAAATATTAATTTTCGTAACTATGAAGTGCGTTTGGCAAGGATCACTAACGCACGCTAAGTGGAAAGTCACGTGGCGGACAGGACAGGCTCTTGCTATATGACCCAATCCTGTATCAACCATGAAACATTATGTAGGAACATACACAGCTCTCTGCGTAGAACTTGCGTTCCACACTCAGTACACAGCCACTAGCCCTTGAAAAAAAAGATCACGGAATCCACAAATTTATCAACATACACAACGGTCGATTGAAAAAACGCCGAAAACTCCGTCTCACGTTATTGATAAGAAGCTGTATAAGGTCTCTTTAATAAACATGGAGGCCATCCCACCTCGTACTTTGTACACGATCCGAGACGATATAGATTCTCTATCAGAATATGAATTTCTATTTTGAATGTGGTTTAACCCGAATAGTTGGACCCTAATGATACACGTGACGAACATAAGTGTCGATGGTCAAGCTGATATACAATGTAATCAACAAGACTCCCTTGGATCGAAGCCTAATCGCTATCATGCCCCACTCATGAAAATTCGCTAACCTACAAGTGAGTACAAATAATGGTTGGCTCACTCCACTTTAACTGTCTTAGGCTGTGAAGCGTTCGAATACTTTTTGACAAAGAAGTTGCCGAAAAATGCCAACAATGATACAGAGTAAAAGAACAACATCTGCAAGACCGTCACACAAAGGTCAATACCTGACCATCAGAACCTCACCTGCGCCTCATTCTTAGAAGCCACAAATAGTCAGAAGCCGCAAACTGTAACTAACTGCACACTTGATTTATTCCTCAACGGGTTTGGTCATTCAAAAAGCTCGTATTCAAGCACCTCAAACAATAGTGATGCAAAAAGGGTAAAAAGTTCTCACCCTGCCAAAGCCCTTGGGATAGTATTCAAACTTCCACATTGCATAAATCGCCTGCCCAATGAAGGACAAAAACTGAAGCATTTGTATGATGGTCAGATACCTGCAGTGACGCCGACGCCGGTGTCAGGCAGGAACCTTAAACTTGAAATTCGAGCGTTCTTTAGTCACGCAAATATTATAAAATATTTTAAATGCAAGACAGCAGACGGCTAAACACATGAATACGCTACCAGGGAACAAGATGAATACAATTTACTTCAATTACAGCAAGACTTCGCAGTGCAGAACATACTTTCCCCAGAAGAGATATTTGCGTCTCCGTTTTTCGTCTCTGGCGACGGTTGCCGCGAGTAGATAATACAGGTACATCGCTACATGGATACAGGAATTGAATGCTGCGGAGAAATACGCTGTGAAACCAAAACATCAGTGTCACCAGGGCTGCCCAAGTGACGAGACGACAAGAATTTCTTCATAAAACGCCCATCCAAATATACAGTATCGAATGTACTTACAATCAGCTCCTGGAAACCGATAGCAAATTATCCACCAAATCATTGCGATGCTTGCGTGGTGATATACATGCAAGTACGTGACTTGTCGCAGATTTCTTCTGAATAACATAATGGCCTGTGGGAACAGCGACTTGGACTAAGTATAAAGTTCACACGATTGCCAAATTCAGTGTAAAAATTACAATAAAGCTCAGAAAATTGGAGAAGACACACAAATCACTTAAGTTAGTCACGTACCGTGTCCATAAATTCGTACAGCTTCGACATGTAGAACACGTAAATGAGCAAATTCATCTGTGAGAAGATACAGTTGCCACGTAAGAAATTCATCCGCAACAGCAATTATTTTCGCGAACAGTCAAATTATGTGGGAAGTTGTTTGATCTTTCATACTTGCACGAGGTATGGCACACGTACATGACCACAATCATACCAAAATTTCAGGTGAATCAACCAGAGAAACCAGAAAGATCATCATGGGGCTTAAACCCCTAACTCACTGCGGGTTCTCTTTCTCTGTAGTAGTTCCCCCATACACTATACCTGTAACGCAGAGAGAAAAATAAATGTCAGATTTCACGAGCAAATGGACAGTGCTCAGTGACACGTACAGCTATTATGATTCCCGTGTTCCTCAAAGAGCTAACGACGGTAACGAGTATCTCAACCAAACTGAACCGTTCAGGATACCACGTGAACGAAATCCACAATGCAAAGCTCTACTCTCTGGCCACCACTCCACATGCAAAAGTTCATCGAGCTTAGTAATAAAACGATAAAACGAAAAGGATGCTTAAGTCAATCCGACTATATGGCTTCATTATCGCTCAGCCTCCGAGCCTTCACTGAATGAGAGGAACAAGCCTTGCGCTTGCGGAAGAGGCCCACAAATCCCGGTATTGGTACTCAAATGCCTCCACCTTGACAGGGATTTCGCTTCTCTCGTGGTCAGAGGACCGCGAGAGCACAGTGGACAGCAAACGTTGAAAGGTCTGGATCATGCTCATATAACCGAATCATTGCGTGGGATATTCACTACCGTACAAGGACTCACCCGTAATGTCGAGCTGCGGCAATGAGACCGACGCACATGAACAAGCTCAAGCAACACAGGAACAGATTGTGGGCAATCACAAGGCAACGCAGGGCGAGCGGGTCCTCCTTCCTGGGCTTTTGGCCAGACGCCTTAATGTGAGAAGACCAAAGCCACACCACGAGCAAGTACAGAGAAATGCAGGCCAACACGGGCACGGGACTCTCGACCATCGGAAGGTCCTTCGTGACAGGATTCGGCTTCCTAATATCCACGCCCACGACATCTTCAAGAACTCTGAACACCGCCTCCCCGATTCTCTCCTCGAGAGGCCTCACTTTCGAAGCACCGCCGCTCTTCCCATTCGTAGCATTCAAAAATGCATGAATCAGACTCGTGGTCCACTCAGCTCCGTTTCCAGAGCCCATCCTATTCCCACCCACGATCTCACCCTCGGGGCTGCTCCGAGCTTGCTTCATCTTCGCCGCTACTGCTATCCACTCCAGCAATCCGCTCCCGCTCTTCGTCGCCATTACCGCCCGATGCGTTCTTGCTCGCTCGCTCGCGCCGAGAGCAGCGGCAGCAGCAGCGGCTGCCACAGGTCGTTCGTCGTCGGCCCGTCCGTGCCTCACATTGCCTCGAATTCTGGCCTCCGCGACGAGTTCACACGTTCATAAATTTGTATATACGATAGAGGGAGAGGGAAAGGACCACTCCCCGGTAATAAACCAGAGCCGCTCCCAATCTCTCCCCTTCTGCTGCTCCTGGCCCCAGGCCTATGGCATTTCCTCGTTCGCACGCTCGCCCCAGCGCTATCAGTCTCCAAATCTTCTCCCCCGCTTCCTCGCCATCTTGCTTTCCGCTCCGCTCCCCTTCGCCGCGGCCCCACCACCGGCGGACGCTCTCTTTTGGCCGTAGCCGCGGGCCCCACCCCGCGCCCGTCGCCAACTGGACATGCCATCATTCCATCGACGGTCGCGATTTTCCCCGATCGCGGGATTGGAGGGTGATCTGTCACCGCTCAAATCCCGCGACGTGGAAGCACCTCACGGGCCAGCCGCAGCCCGGATTCTCTAACCGCGGTGAGAGCACTCGTGGATGGAACCACCCCTCCTACGATAGCGGTGGATGCGCACCCAAATGTCGTACGCATTCCGAGTCGCGGACCGCTGGTTACTATACCGCACTTGGTATGGTAACCAGAAGGGTTGGAGTTTAGCGACTGCGGATGCGAGAGTCGGCTCTGTGGGTGGTACCTGCGTGTGAGCAGAAGGGATCCAAACGCCGCTCGATTGGGGATAACGGCTCGACGGGATCCGAGCTTCCGAACAGTTCGGCGAAGAGTTAAGGTCGTGGATTGAACTGCGGTAGCGGTAGCGGTAGCGGCAGCCGTCGAACTATGGTCAGCCAGAGGATTCTCTGGACTCCGACGACATGCCGTTCCTGGCGCGACCGGAGCTAGGAACCGGACGGCTCCGGTCGCGCCAGGAACCGCATGGCTCCACACGATCCGTGCGAGGTGTTTGTCGTAGAAGGGTGGCCGTCACTTCATACGTGGTCGTTTCGAGCGCCACTGTGAAGCCATGCGTGTGTGGTAGACCGAGGCTTAACCTGGGCCTAGATCACGTTCGACGAACTTCGCTCGGACTTCACCCATCTTCCTGCGCGTCTAATTCTCTCCATATGTGGTGCTCTATTAGCAACTTGATCTTCAGTGGACACAGAATACAGTTTTCAGTTGTTGAATCGATCGAGTACATAATGTCCTGTTGCTCCATCAGAATTTATCCTTCGAAACCTTATTATAATAAATTTGGACGTAAGCACATTGTTCCTTCACTTAGGGCCGAAACTCTGATGATTTATCTTCTCTTTTATTAGACATCTCACTTGCTCATCGCCATAAGTTATCCATGATACCACCGCAGCACCTAAAGGAAAAAAAAGTAATTCTGAACAATATTCTTATTGGTGTTTTTCAAGCCCATACTTGATATATTATACAGCTGCGATTGCTTCACTAAAACTTCCTTCTAGTGCGTTGACACGATAACTTTACAACATTGTTATGTTCAGAAGATGGATAGGCACCCTCCTACCAAGCTTTCGTGACTCCAAATACTCTACGTGATTTCTACGTATTGTAATGTGTACATCTGTTACTAGTTTTGTAATCCACACGTGTTCTTCACAGAGACCATAAAGGCTGTAGGATATCTCAACCCAAAAGAAGTAAATGGCGACCAGATATACTACAGTGTCTAAATGTTCAACAGTCTTATCAATTAGAAGCTTTCAATCGATTTCAACAAGGACAAAAAAACAAAATCAGAGATCGTCCTTAAATCTTTCCTATCCACAATGTAAAACTACGAGCCCAATCTAAGCCAATCTCTTGTTAGTGGGATGTATAGTATATGACCAATGAACCTTAGCGGTAAAGTTTTACTGTCTGAGCCCCAGACTTCTAGAATATGGAGTCCAATCGATGAAGTCCAGCACAAACTTACAATCAAAAGCATGAATGCTCATAACAATTTTTCTGATTCTGTACTATCCACTGGTTTTTGGTACTTTACTGCTTTCAATATAAAACCTTATTTCCCTGAACGATATATATTTACAGAGCTAGATAATATCTCACCCGTCAGGGTCAGGGTTTCAGATTAAGCCAGCCAACAACTCTCACCCGCATGTAGATTGCAGGCCGACCAGTGGACAGAAGGCCAGCAAGAATAAAAAAATTCCAGTATTAGTTAAGCTCAGGAAGCAACTTTCTACTTGCAACAAGAGTGTAAATTGTCTCGTAAGTGAGCAAGGATAAAATAGTGGTATGTCATACTTTAGAGATGTTACAAATATAATATTTTTGCAGTATTAGTTAAGCTCAGGACACAACTCTCTATTTGCAATAAGAGTGTAAATTGTCTCGTCAATGCACAACTAGATGGGCTATCTTGCATACGTACAAAGCTGATAACATCTCACGTGAAGCCATGGTTGGAGAGCTTGATGGACCTTTGATAAGCCTTATTACTTTCATCCGTGTGCTTATGGATTCACATTTCTGATCATCAACTCATAGAGCATTTTCTTATGGAATAGCCATTGTAGTAAAATTTATATCTAGTACTTAAAACCAAGTAAAATTATAGTTAATGCTTGCTATATAAGAGCATTGATTTCTACGAGGTTAATTGTGACAAGTTGTGTTTACATCTCTTTGGCTTAGGATACATTTTTTTATCATATTTGTAGATTATCGAACTTAAATGTGAAGGTTTGGAGAATAAATGTGTCAAAGAGTATGATTTCATTTAATATTCTAATGTTTGAGAGAGATGTTTGACGTTTGAGATTTAATTTATGCACACATGATCACTGTTGCTCAAAGATCATGTCTCAAACTACTTACACTCAGATTTGAACAAGATTAATCCATGTACATTTTTAAAATAATTCGTTTGAATTGTTGCCATTCGTCTACCATAAATTTTTTGCACCATACATCGGTAATCTTGTCATTGATAATCCTTTATCACTACACACAGAACCAAATTATAGCTTGTGTGATGAGTATTTTGCACGAATTTTCATGTTTCTTTTTTGGCCGTGTTTGAATCCATGAATTCATTTATCATCAATAAAATGTACCAAAACTTAGCACTTTTATCTAATTTGACATTCATTACATTATTAGAATCCAATTTTCAAAAATTTCCTATATCATTTGTAAAATACATGGAAATGTTCTACCGTGATGAAATATTATGACAAATAAAAGATGCTATGTTCTTGAAGTCTGAATAATTTCTCACTATTTTTTAATTCTATATCCATGAACATAAGTAGACTTGAATTAGATGATTATTAATTTTCTATATGGATCTAAAAATTTATCACCTGCACATCCATTCTTCGTGAGTTTGACCATTTTTTCCAAAATTATTAATCATGTATTCACTTGCAGTTTGTGCTCTTGTTGATCTTGGTTTGATTAAGCACAAGGTTCTTATTATGTGTAATATTTTCTTTTTTTACATCAATGACTCAAAATTCCATATGCCTAACTCTTGTGATAACATGATAAAACACATGTTAAAAATTTTAATCCTCGGTTTTTTGGTAAAGGTGAAAATGAAAATGAGCAAGTTGTTGTGAACAGAAATTTATATACGAGATATTCATAACACAAAAATTTATAGAAAATATATATGACTAAAAATCACAATTTGGTCATGTTCCCTAAACCCATGAAGATTACCATATTATAATAGTTCAGATTTTTATTTTTCTCTGATGTAGATTTCAAATGTATAAAATAAAATAAAAAATACTCATCGCATATGTGACTAAAATTATATATATTTCATATTAAAAAAGCTTTATACATTTGAATAAGGATATTTTTTGATTAGAATATGTTATAATCTTCAATAAAACAAAAATTTACAATTATATTTACACAGATGGACATATTATACGTGATATTCTTATAGACATAAACGTTATAATAGTTATATATGTTTTCAATAATTTAATTCAAAATTTAATTCATGTAGATTAAATTTTATCCTATTTTAATTCAAAACCTTATAAAGTTGCAATTAAATTTGATAATAAGTTCTTGTAACCAAATTCAATTCTTTATGTAAGTGATATTTATAAAATTTGCTAAATATAAACTTACATTTTTTCTAAATCTTCTAGTATAAAAAAAAAATCTGATGTAGGACTAACATGCATGTTAATTTTGATTTAACTAGCAACCATATGTAAATCTTATGTCTGTTCTTATATTTTCATTATATTAAATTTTATTGTGTACATATTATTTATAAAATAACCAGAATTATATCATAGAAAGTTTTGACAATGCAGATTTGCTTTTATTTATCATTTCATACAATATATTTATGATTATAATTTTTGGGATTTTCATTTGAGTAGATACGAGCTAGTTTAGATACATTTTTTAATCTTATAACATAATTTCATTTTGTGAATTTAAGTTCTTTTCCTGGTTAAGATATTTTGATCTTGTTATAAAGTTAAAATTGTTGATTTCGTCCACGTTTTCTCATCGTCAGTTAATAATTTTTTCTAAACTCTTACTTGAAATTATTTTTGTCTAATTTTCCTCGAATTTTACAGAACTTGTCTGTTTTAGTATTACGTATTAGTCTCTAGCCCTTCATATTTTGAAAGAAATCTGTGCTTGCTGCATTACAACTGCAACAAAACCTCGCAGGAGATCCACACGAAGCCAACCTGTTTAATGTAACAGCTGAACCCATTCGAATACCTCCTGGCTTTAGCCAGTGACCTTTCCATGCTGTGCATTGGATCTACGTAACAAACTGAACAGCAATAATGTTCTATATTTTCAAATTGGCTATGTTCGGCTGAACATAGTTGCGAACCATCTGCTATACCAAGGAGTAAGCCCACTCGGGGACATGATTGTCAGCTGTCAGCATGAAAGTTGATGAAGACATTCGAACTTTGAGAGCTGCAAATGATCAAATGCCCACACATCCTATATATAAACATCGGCCAATGTGAGGCATTATATTCTGGGACGTCAAAGTCTTTACTCGTGTACTAGTGCTGGGATAATCGCAAAATTGATAATCAAACGAGTAATCCAGATAAATCAGCGTCCGATAGTCTTCGCGCAAATCGCTGAAACCAGCAGCGTACAACAGACATTCCCACACCACAGAACATGCAAAAAGCGAGAATCAAACTTCGATTCAATAGCCCTTGTAAAACGCTCTCTTTCTTCAAAGTGATATGCTAAAGCTCATAGGCATATGCAATCAAGTAACGTCAAGTTGGATTGGAATAGAAGAATAAAATGGAAATCCATACACTTCTTAACCTCATACTCTTGAATAATACTCGAGATCCATAATTCAAGACATTCACTTACAAAAATCCAGGCGATAATCGAGACCAAAAAAACCAAAACTTCAGTCGGTTTCTTTCGAGAAAGAACGTCGAGTGTTACAGGCAACTGGACTAGCAAATTGGTCTCACTCTGCAATAGGCCCCGCAACTAGAAGGTTCAAAATGAAGTAATACCGCCGGTTTTGAGGCGTTTCAGAGGCAAAGAGGTTACTGTTGTCCTAATTCCCTTCATGGGACCGGTATGGACTAGAGAAACAGATATGGCACGTAAGCAGCTGTTAAATTGATAGCATTGAGCTTAACATAAACAACTACCTTCTTCCTGTTACTAATATCCGAGCTGAAAAAGAGGCAGTCAACTTTCGAGGGGTGGGCTCGCTGCATGGCAAAATTTGGATAGCCGGCCTGCGCTTTTCCTTCTTCCTAATATCCCTAGCACCCGTAAACTCATTGTGTCCATCTGTGGTCTGGACAATCTACTCGTACACTAGTAAGTGTTCAGCTAAAGTGGGGTACCCAAAAGGGCCCAATCAGTTCAGAAGGCCTTCCACGGATTTTCATCGTCTAGGCTTGTGAATCTTACCTACTAGCACTGATCCGATCTTACATCAACATCTTGCACCTTCATCTAGCTTTAAAATGGAAGCGGCTGAAGTGTACTGGACTGAAGTGCTGTGCTTTCAATAGAGTATATTTACAATTGAAGGGGTTGATTGCACGTGATGCAGCTTGATGCTATATTGTGGAGTTCTTACCAGGAAGTGGTATGTACACTTAAAGATTTCCTCACTAACATCTTGTAGGTTGTTACGAGTTGTCGGGAGTAAATCCATTTCCCTGGCCATCGGTTTCCCACAACCACTTCCAGTATTTTGCAAGCTGATGGTCGTCAGGTTCAACATCCCTCCATAATCCTTGACAAAATATTGCATACGCATCGGCAGCATACCTATCATTACGAAAGGTGAATTGAAGTTAGAAACTTAAAGACACTCACACCAAACTGTCTCACCGAGTCTAAATTGACATATAATTCCCTGCAAATATTACTTCACTGAAGAGAGGCTCCATTCCAATGAATTGACTTACTTTCCAATGCCGTGCAATTGAGTTACATTGGTCCAGTCACCCTGCAGATACTCGAATGAAAATCTCTGGATCATCTTGGCACGTTTATTTTGTAGGCCCAAGGAGTATACTTTCTCCGCAATCTTCGCAGTATCAGTGTTTATCGCAGATTCTGCATCGGGGCACAGGCTGAAAAGATCCCATATGACCTTATGCATCTACAGGAACAAACAAACACAATCGGTTAGACAAAACACAACAGCAAGGTCAAAATATCTCTAAACTAAGTTTCACTTAGTGAACCACAAGATCATTCTTGCTCCGACTTAGAACTCCGTGAATGCTGTGTTCGCTCTACAGTTGGCTTGACGATCCATCCAATTTTGAAGTACTACGAAAAGAACCCATATCCATGAACATCTTCACTACCATATTCTTCACTCGGAAGATGAAACTGGGGAATTAGGTAAACAATTCCATCTCAGCCAGATTGGATGGGTGTAGCAGAAAACAACAAGGGAATAAAGAACGCATGTTCCGGCCGCATGAAGGAGAAGAGTTTATATAAGCATAAGAAAGGAACAGCTTGGAGAGGGTACGCAACATTCTCAAGTGGGCAGAATAGACACTATCCCGGTCTTGATCCTTGAAGGATGTCAAATCAAGTCAGTATGACGTACTTTCAAGTGCTTCACTCAAATCACAGCTCAGAATCACCTATCGGTAGAATACTGACCACTTATGATAGCTTCGTTTCAAGAAAGGACACAACATCTACCGGCACAAGTATCTCGTCAATCGACGTCAGCGCTACGTTTTCACTTCAAGCATGAGATCGTAAAATGGTCGTCTAGGTTTTGCTTGAAACCCTCTGTAGCCTGTTGCTACGGATGGAAACGACGGACAATGGTCAGCTCAGCCGTCCGACCCGGTCATGTGACCGCACTAACCGTTACGCATGACGACGGCGCAAACACCGCAAAGAAACGCGCTAAGGACTTTCAATTTGAACACATTTCATCGGCTTTTGAACGATCGTACCGACGTTCAAGAACGTTATGAACGTGAATAGTACGGCCAAAAATTGGCGCAGATGTTGCCTTCCATGCTATTAATGTGATTACTGGACTTCACGTCCGGTTCCGGCAATCTAGATGAAAAGTCTGGCGAGGGAAAGCTTCGAATAAAAACTTTGCAATGTCTACAGGTGTGGAGATTCAGACATAGCTGAGATCAAAGCAAGGCAGGCTAGAGAAGGAACACAGAGAACTTGACAGTAGACACACAAAATTCTAGACGCCCAAAGGAGAATGTGGCTGACGGGTTTGCGGGTCCTTGCGTCCATCTCTGAACAGGGGGACTTTCATAAGCCACCGTTAGACACTCCCAGCAAGATCCGGTTGAGATTGAATAACACCTCCAGACCTACATGGGCCTACTTGGTCCATAAGGACTATATTGGGTGATTTCTTAATCGAAATTTGATGTACTCAATTCGCAGTCTTCAATACTCGGATGGCAATTGACAAAAACTGTGTATTGAGACATTTTGTCAAGTGAGATCCCATCTTTCTAACTTCCTTTGTTCGACTTTACTTCACACCTTAACTTGCTTCCAAAAGCACCCTAAACGGGAAAATAAAAGTATGGGACTAGGTTCGACAATGTTCTTCAGACGAGCTTTCAATTAGCAAACAAGATCTTTTCAAATGGTAAGGAGTAAAAAATTTCGACCACAGGAGCATTATTCGCAGACTGCCGTTTATGGTCATCCGACAAACTTCCAACACACACTTCTCTGCCTCGTGAGAGACTCGTTACTCCTTCACGAGACTTCTGTTTTCTTATGAAAGTGATCCTCCAGTTCACATGAGAGAGTAAAATAACCATGCAAAAAAGTCCATAAGAATAAGGAAATACTCAAGATTGAAAATCAAGAAAGCACACAGAGACTACGCTCGGATCAGATCTCACAAACACCAAACACTTCCCATCTGTACAAGACTCCAATATGTCACAGAATAAGTACGACGTGCCAATTGAGTTTGAAGAACACATCACAAAATCATTCCAGGCGTTCATCGGTAAACGACAATAAAAAATACAACCAGACAGTTCTAATGGTGGTCCATACAAACGGAAAGATCGGAATCGGTGCAATCGGTTGATTTCGCAATATCTTACCTGCCGGCCTGCTGTTTTGTTGAGAAGCATGCACGAAAGCAACACTTTCCATGGATCTTTGTAAAGACTCTCCTGAATCAACCCGAAAGGAGAAGGAGGCGGCTCCCAATTCTCGTTCCTGATGGAACTGCCTGGACATAAACCTGTCGACATGGGAAGCGAATCATCCGCGTCTTTGGTCTTCCTACGCTTCCTCACTTTCTTCTCAACAACAGCTATATGCTTTTCAAAGCCTTCTTCTCGAAATTCCTTCCTCTCGTAGTGACCTTCGCCATCCCCATCGTGGGTAACTCTACCCTCTCTGGAGAGTTCAACCCCAGACGTGTTGAAGTGGCCAAGCTTAAACGCATGTTCATGACCAGAGCCCTCGGCTTGCGGTCTTCGATAGAAGCTTTTCTCTTCTGACGCATGAAAATCTACTTCCACTTTCGGTTTTCGTCGACGAGGAGGCACCTCCTTGTCACCTTTCGGCGCTCTACTCCTCTTCTTTATAAGTTTATCCTCGGTTTTTACTTGCTGATGTAGCATAACACGAGGTGGTGCAAGTTGCAACGGGGGCCTTTCGTCTTCACTACTTGAGGAATTCTCGACGGCCCGACTTTCTGCGTGCCTCAAGGCAAACTGCTTGGGATCATTCACCATGGCAGCCTTCACGGCCGCGAGGATCTCTCGAGCCCTTTCTAGAGTCACACGGGCTTTGTTATCGGAACTAAATCGTGTTCTTTCTCCAGTTCCAGTACTCCTCCTCCTTCTAGACGAGTTTGTTGAAGGTCCTCTCTCCCTCTTCTTAGGTTCACCGCCATTACGGGGTACACTCTCGATTTTCCTCTTCGTCGTGTCCACCATACCTCTCGGTCCTTTCTCGGGAGAGAGAATCATCTCTCTGGTCCCTTCACTTGCAGACACATGACTCCTCTCGGGTCCTCTCGACAGAGGCAGAGCTCTTTCACCGTCGCTGTCATCGGTCGCTTCATGAGCATCTTCTTCAGGCGATGAAACCTCTCTCATTCTCTGTCTATGGTTGGATTCGCGAACATCGTCGGGCGATGACATGTCTCTCATTCTTTCCCTCTCCCTACTGACAGGAACCTTCGACACTCTCATATCACCTCGGCCCAGGTCGCGGCCGTCGGCAATTCTCATCACCGGCTGCGGAGATGGAGAATCAGGAAGCCCAGGTTCATCAAAACCTTCGTCCTCTGTTCCGGTTCCGCCGTCGTCAAACCCTACACGCTCGTGCTCTCGCTCGCGTTCTCGATCCCTGTCTCGACCTCGACTGCTTCCTCCTCGATCCATAACATCAGCCTCGTGCTCTTCTTCCTCCTCAGCACCTAATCCTTCCCCGTCGTCGGAGAGGTCCTCAGCGACGTCTTCCTCGGCTTCCTCTTCTTCCTCCTCCTCGTCAGAACTGCCGTCCGAAACACTGCCTCCATTGCTCAGGCCGACGCGCCTCCTGCCCAGCATCATTGCATCGCCGTTCCACCGATACCCAGCTCCAACCTTGCTTCCGTTGTTGTTCATCATATCGGCGGCCGATAACACGCTCGCTCCTCCAACCTTCTCAGAAGCCATCTCGCTAATACCATACGACCGCTGCTGCTGGTGCTGATGAGATGAACTGCCCACCATCCCACGGTTGTTCACGGTGACCATTCCTGCGCGCTCCTTTGTTCGGCCCGATGGTGTGCCGAGTGACTGAAGCGACCGAGGCCCACCCCCGGCCCTATACCCCTGTTCCGCCACCACCACCACCACCTTCTCCTCCTCCGCCTCCAACTTCGTCCGCCCGGTCCTCGTCCGCCTCCTTCTCCTCTCCTCCGCCTACTCCCCGTTGCGGCCACATCACCGACCTCCAGACGAGCGCGAGCGAGGCGCGCACGAAAAAACCGCCGCGCGACCTCCCCTCTCTCGACAACCCACGGATTCCCCCCTATTTGCTTGCGACCCGAAATCCCTCGAGGGAAGATCGAGGCGTGGAACAGATCCACGGGGAAATGGAAAAAATCGGCGTATCTCTGCGCTTGGCCGCGGGGGTGGGTCGGCCTGGGCTGCCTATCTGTCGGGTTCGCGGAGGTTTCTAGAGAGATAGATGGCTTTCTCTGCCTGGGCCTCCCAAGGACGACGAGTCTGTCGGTCAGTCCGTCAGAGGCACGTATCATAGAAGAAGGTACTACTCCCCCCCCTCGGCCCTCGGCCCCCTGCCCTCTCCCTTCTCTCTATCTCTCTCTCTCTCTCTCCTAGTAGACGAGTATGGACCCGACCCGACCAGAACAGAGCAGCACAGCCATCATCCGCGGAGATTGGGAGCAGCAGCAGCAGCTTCCTCGGCTCAGCTCAGCGCACCGCAGCGCAAGCCGTGGGGCAAAGCCAAAGCCTGCCTGTATGGCTCCTCCGGTTCGGTCGTGCACGGAGGAAGGGAGGCCAAGGCAGCAGGAGGATCTTTTTCCTTCCTGCGCGCGTCTCTTTTTTATCCCATGCCTCCGCCCACTCTTCCATTAGAAAACCCAAAAGAACTAAAGACAAAAGCCCATTTGCCTGCGGGCTCGATTTCTTAGGATCCATCTCGGGTTACCGAGACGACACCCCTCCGCTCTCCGCTCGCCGCTCTCGGCCTGGCCTCCCCGTTCTCTCGCTGCTTTCGGCTCGCTCGCTCGCTCGCCCGCCTGCCTCTCAGCTAACGACGGCGAGACGATACGATACTATCCTCGACGGCCTCCCACCTCCTCCTCCTCCTCCTCCCTCGTCCCTTCCCATCATCAAATCATATCTATCCGCCCCGACCCATCCATCGATCGGCCCCCATGCCACTACACTACGACGACTACACTACCCCGCGGCCCAACCACCCAAATCTTCCCAGGCTGCCTGCCTCCCTGCCTGCCTTGCCTGCCTGCCTCTGCCTCGCCGGCTCTCTTTCCACACGGGGCGACCATCCCATGCCATGCCACCCTGTGTCCCGCCAGGGGATCCGTCCCGCAGCTCGCCTGCTGCTCCTCGTCCTCCTCCTCCTCCTCCTCCGACTCACGACCTGACCTGCGACTCGACCTCATTAACGGGCCCGGGTCGGTGAAAGTTATTGCCGCCCTGTCGCCGTCGCGACCAGGCAGACAGAGCAGCGCGCCCTCGTTCACGACGAGCTCGATCGCTCGGCTCCCACTGCATGTCAGGACACCCCCCCCCCCTCCCCCCCTTCATTTCGTCGAACTGCCTCGGCCTCTGCCTCCCTGCCTGCCTGCCTCTGCCTTGGCCTCGGCCTCGGCCCCGTTGCTTTGCCTCGCCCCGCCCCGCACTGCCACTATACTCCGCTCCCACATGCGACGCGGAGCTCTTTTCCTCGCCCCCCCCGGCAACTGTCGTCGTATTCCCACGTCTCGCCCATTCGCCGCCCGTTTCGGCCATTCATTTCCGCTGCCCCGGCCTAGCCTGCCCTACTGCGCCTGCCTGCCCGCCCGCCCGCCCGCCCGCCCGGCCCGTCTGACTGCGCTCCGCGGCCTCGGCCGCGGCCCCGGCCCCACCGCGACGGACGGGACGGTTTCACGGACCACTCCTGCCCCGCGCGCGCGCGCTCTCTCTCTTCTCTCATCTCGTTGACAGTACCATCTTTCACGAAGGCCTCGTTACAAATGGTCCATAAATGGGCACATTCCTCGGCATCTCGACCCCAGCCCCGTTCGATCCAGTATCTGACGGTGTTTCCCCGACGGCGAAAGCACATTCTTGCGAGCGTTCGCTCGTTGGATCTTTCCGCTCGCTGGCAGGCAGGCAGGCAGGCTGGCTGGCTGGCTCGCGCGATTAGGGTAGGAGTAGCGGGAGTCCGTAGGACCATATGGGCTGCGACTCGACGAGCGAGATTGTAGGTTGGCCCACCGACGGAGCGCGGGGCGGACGTACGTCCATCTCGCATCGGTCGAAGAGGGGCGGCTCAGCACGGGCCCTAATCCGACGTCATTAGTCGAAGGCTAATATGTGGGAGGGCATGATTAGCTCATGACATTTCGCCTCGTGACGTACCGCCACGAGGCCCCCAATTCTCCCCGATTTTCTACTGTTCGCCACTTTGTCATTTCGCCCCGGGACGTGCATCATGTCTTTGCTCGTATGATTAAGCTGACTGTCTGTCTGTCTGTCTGTCTGTCTGTCCATCGTCGTAGAAGTAGGTGAGGAAGTAGTCGTATCTCCTCCCCGGCCTGTCCGTTCGCCTTTCGTCTTCGCTCGTGCGATGATCCTTGAACTCTTCGCACGCAACACTGACCGGTTACGGACGATGCTGGCGCAGTCTCTCGCTCGGCCCGAAAGTTGCGTGTACCGCTCGGTTTCGCTATTAGGGCTACCACCACCACCGCTCGCACGGCGTCCCGAGACGACGAGCGGAGCGAGGAGGCCAGGCCAGGCCAGGCCGGCGAGCGAGCGAGGGAGGGAGGGAGCAACGGAGGGAGGCGCGGTGGGGCAGGTTCGCCCGGTCTTCCTCGTCCTCGGCCCTCGGCCTCCTCCTCCCCCTCCAGCTCGCTCGCGCGTTCGTTCCGATACTGCCAGTCAGGCAGTCAGTCCTTCAGTCATAAAAGGTACGGGTATTTCACGTCGTTCGAAGGATCGGTTCGAGTATGTCGTGGCCACATAGTAAAACTGTTCGACATTTCATCCGCAATCTGCGTGCCCCGCCGCGCCCCTGCAACGTTCGCGCTCCTGCCTCCCTGCCTGCCTGCCTCCCCTCCCCTCCCCTCCATGCCATGGGCTCCCTCCCATGTACGGGAATGTCACGCTATTCGTCCCCCGCCTCGCCAGAGCCTTGACTGCTGGTAAATCGCTCCCTCGCCTTGTGCCCGAAGGGTCCGTGCCGCCAGCGGCAGCAGCTCGGTGCACTCCAGCATCAGATTCACGGAGCTCCCACAAGTCTCGCAGCGACCTTCGTCGAGAGCTTCGTCGTCGTCCGCCGGATGCCTCCAAAGGGTACGGGGCATAACGTCAAAGTCCCGACGAGGAACGACGACGAACGTCGGACGACGATCCCCTCGCCCTCTCCTCCCCCGCACCCCCCCAACGCCCCATTGCGTTGGCCTCACGACTGCTCCGCTCTTGACCCAGTCGCTCCAAATGAACGGGTGGAATCAGATGCCTAGGCCGAAGGTCGAGACCCCGACCCCGACCTCGACCTGCGAATCCCCTCGTCTACAGTCGCAATGCTCCATCCATCGACATCTATGCTGCCCATCAACCGTGCCTCGCTCACTCGACCATTAATTTGTCGAGCCGAGTCCACTTGATGGCACGACCTGTCCGGGCCTTGACCCATCTCCCCCGCCCTTACATCATCTTTCTGGGTCAGAACCCGATTGTATCTCATCCTGCACTGACTCATCCTAGGCCTGTGCCATGGTCCAGTCACTCGCACGAGGCTACTTCTGGAACAATATGTCCGCCGTCCATGGTGACCACGCCAGCCCTTGGTTACATCCAGACCCACTGACAAGGTGGACGCGTATGACACCTTCTTCCTCGAGAATCGCTTTTGCATCACAGTACCATGTGTGTGTATATCTCAGCTTAACAACAATTTTAGGTCACGCTTTGTCCTCTCCCTAACCACATTTTAACTACGGCTTGTACGAGGAACTTCCCTTCGTTATGATTAGAACGATATTTCAAACTCTTCGACACTGTGTTGAATTAGATTCTGCAGAGGCAGATTCTCCCAGCCGTAGGAGGAAACAATAGAACTAAAGTCTCGATCTACTGCCATGGATCACGAGATGACCATCGTTCAGAGGGATGAAAAATGTCGGGACACAAAACTCCGAACGCTACCAAAGACTTGGAATAGACCCTACTGCCAATCGAATTTTTCTACTTGCGATAAGTGAGATGGATAACTCATGCTTCTACTTTTTGCTGGAAGACGCATTGAAGTAGATCTCATATTGTATCTACCTATGATTATCTACTTCAGCTTCAAATCATTCTGATAACACTGTAATTCCCCACCACTAGCAGATAAGATTCGGAGCATATTTAGATAAAAGTTCGATTTCTTCCAAGGTCAAAGGCCGATCTGGCTTTCCTATTTGATGGTTTGATATTTGGTTAGGTCTAATTCTGCTATTTTAATGTATGGGGGATAAAGCAAAAAGTTTTTTTTGTTTCTTCAGGTCCTAATTGACTCGCTTGAGGTGCGATGTGGTCTTTGACATTCTCTCAGGTCCCCATCTTTGTTATATGTTCGGTGAGAGAAGGATGTATCTTACGGTCGCACACAATCAACGTATGTAAATGCGTACCAGCTGATACTTAGACGATCCTAGACAATGTATGTATTGAAAACTCGATACATAATCCTGATTGATCGCCCGACGTGTTGTTCGGTTGATCCACTTTTTCTCTTACAAATATGCATTTTTTCATCTCTCTCGACAATAATTGTCATTCCTGAGTCATTGTCAACGACGAAACATCTCGTAGCCGGCTGCACTTGTAGAAGTCCACAATGAAAAATTGCCCCAACAATGCAATTGTCTGAGACATAGAGGAGTGGCCCCTCGTCTTTACAGACGATATACTGTTGTTTGTAATCCTCATTATCAGAAGCCCTTTCAAGTTGCTAGTAAAGACGACGTCTAGATGCCGCATTGATGTTTGACCGTATAATGTTCCAATTACATGTTTCTTCGAATAATAACTACCTTGGTAAAGCAAGAGCATATATATATGGATTCTTTCATCTGTTAGTTTAAAACGGTGGTAGACATATCCTCTCAAGTAACTCTTTCCCATGTACTCCACACGTGGCTCTTCCAAATTTGTAACCTAGAAAATCTAAATTAAGAAGACAAAAAATGCGGCGTCACAGGTTCTGGATCCCGTGAAAAGCTGAACATCTTGTAGGGTTCAGCGTGCCTGATTCCGACCAGGAACTTCTCATGCAGTAAAGAACAACCGCCTCTGATAATAATAATACTTTCTGAAAAATCGCTCTGGGTAAAGTTAAAAACCTCGAACGTCATTTGTAATTTTAACCCAGGTAAAATTTAGAACAATACAACCTTTGCGTCGTGAACAGATGTGACGATTCGTATTGATGTGGGAAATAACCAAGTACAATACAAATTTAGAGGCAGAAACCCATCCGTGGCTGAGTAGACTACGTACAGCATGGGAAAACCCCATCCTAACCACGAAGAGAAAAAACTGACACCATATGGTATGTACTAATAGTCTCAAGAGCTGGATACGTGGTTGAATGGTTACAAACAAATCAAGCAGCTACTGTGATTTCATTACTATGTACAGCCCAATCTTTTGTTTCGGGTAAAAGAACGAAAACCAAATATCCAAGTAGACTTCACCGATTTGCCAAGAAAAACAATGACAATTGCCATCTACTTTCATACATTCTCTTGAAAACTTTTCGCAAACATGTTGAAATCTATATCTCCATACAACTCAGCTCAAAAGTAGTAAAAAATGTATATCTTTGTATACACATATATAAGATGATTGTTCTTCTCGTCTATACAAAAATATGATTGTGAAAACTTTAGGGTTTGTTATATATTGTATTTAAATTTCCTTACAAGGCATATCAACACTTCAGGTAGATGTAAATCTTATTCTCACTCAAAACAAAATTAAAACCTTAGACTTAATGACATCATGAACAAAAAGTATATGATATCAAGTCATGTGAAAAACTACAATATCATGTTATAACATGATATTGTTCTATATCCCAAATCACAAAAAAAGTTGGACACTAAAATTTGTGATTTGCCATTGGGAATTACTTTCATCAGAACATGAGATTTAATTGCAAATCTAAAAATGATATTCAAAGCAAGGTACGTACCGCAGTCCCATCTAATGGATAACATAAACTCTAAATTGAAGAAAAATCCTAAACTAGGATGAGCGAACTAGATCTAACTTCCAACTTAAGTTAAAATCAACAATCTTTCCCTTAATTCATGTCATGAGTTCATGAATATGAGTATTCTCCATCACTCATATAAATATTATGTGAAAAGTTTTAGAAGTAAATTAACAATCTCTCAATGAGATTGTGTCTACAACCTCTAGTGACATTTTTGGAGAGTATATCCACACGGCACTATGCTCATATTCAAGTAACTTCTTGGAGCTGCAAGTTCCAACACCAAAAAATTTGTCTATGATAGCTATCCATGATGCAATATTTTCAAACTCTAAATCAACCTAACTAATGCCAGATAACAATATATTTTTGTCTAGGAGGGATAGAAGACTATTACTCATAAATGTTAACTATGTAAAACACATGAGATATTTGAGCTTAAGATTTAGTATAGTTAATTGTACAATCTACAATTGCTAAAGTATGATGACTTCTAGCAAGTGTAGATTGTTTTACTTATGAGCTCTAAAGATACTCTTATTCCATACTTTTATCTCAATCATTCTTTCTTAAAACTTCAGTCAAGTTCTTTTGAATTTGACATTCCAAGAAATATCAAATTATTTTTCATATAACGTATGAATCTAACTTGTGTAAATGTTGTTGGACTTCAACAAAAAATTGAATCTTAACCGTATCAAAAATTTCAATTTTACAAGATTGATCATTTCTTATAACATTTTTATCATTTGATATTGAAAAAGTATATAAAAACAATTCTAACATAATAGATTTGATAACAACAAAAACATTCTAGATTTCATACATCATCAACAACCTTTGATAAATTGCATAGGGCAAAACTTTGATAATATACTTCATTTTTTAGCAAATAGTACTCCTAAGAATCAAACTCTTGAGCTCTATTGGCTAACAAAGTATCATGAGCTTTGGTTTTCACACGGCAATATAGCTTGACATGACCACTCTTGCCACATTTCCAACACATTAGAGTTTTCTTCTTTAGAAATTTACCTCTAGATTTGGATCTATTCTTAGATCTTAAACATTTACAATTCTTTTCATTTCATGAATATGATTAACCTTGACTCACATTCAATATCATATCTAATAAAAGAAGATGAAGAAGATTACAACATCATCTTTTGTTGTAAATCATCAGTTAACAAAACACTTAAATCTTTAGTGATTCAGTGATTTTGATCTTAAAGTGATTTTTTGTCTATCACAATGCAGGCAATGAATTCCATATATAAGACCTTTTTTTTCATCAATAATCTACTCTCCAATATTTTGTAGATAAATCATAAGATCATCAAATACATAAGTATTATCTTGAATTTTTGTGACATATCTTTCATCTTGAAACTCATCAACTTCAAGGAGACATATAACATTTTGATAGTTCTTTGCGTTAAAAACTTTGCTTAAGAGACTCAAACCAACATTTTGACAATTCTTTGCGTCAAAAACTTTGATTAAGAGCCTCAAATCAAAGAGTAAATTCATCATGCTCATCCACTTGATTCAAGACTAAAGGTTTCAAATGAAATATGATAATACTCACATACTGTTTCAAAATATCACTTAACTTGTCATCGTTGTAGTTGGACAGTTTTTGTTTCAATATCTTGTCGATACCCATGACCTTTAGTTTGACCTTCACTTGTCTTTTTCAGAGTAAATAGTCATTCATTGGTCACATTTAATTATGTCGTATCTTGCTTCCACAAGCTTAGTAAGTTGTTACCTTGAATATCTGAAGCTATAATTTATACCGTTGAGGTGAAAAATGATCAATTGATGAAATGGAATATTTTTTGAACTAAATTGCAACAAACATAATCAATGACAATCAACTGTGAACGATGATGAATTGTTGAACAATCAAATGATAGTTATTCCTGTCATTTTTTTTAATTTGTTCTTCTACTTTCATCAAAACATTGGCTCGCACAAAGTTCAAACTCGAGATTCTTGAATCTCTTAACAATGTGTAGAAGCACTTCAAGCTAATACTTGAAACTTATTCACACAGCGATGAAATCATGTTATGATTTCAAATCAATGTGCACG